AAAGAAGATTCAGAGCAACCACAAAGCTTTGCAAAGCAGCAGGAGATTGGATCATTTTAAACACTCTGTACTGGGTGCTAGAGTTCAGTCTGTCTAGTTTAGTCCTGTGTCTTTCTTCACCATGCAAATATACTTAACCTGTAGCAAGAAGGAAAAATACCAGTTCCAGTTGTCCAATACCTTTACATACATATTTATTCTACAGTCACTAAAAAGTTGTATAACTTCCAAAGGTAACAGGAAAATTATTCCATCTAATTTAGGATGCAACTAACTAAGGATGCAGCTCTTTCCTGAGATGGTGGGTTTTTTCAGTTTGAAAAAAAGCACTCCATTTGTTTTCTCTAATGCCCTAAGCACTACATGAAGTTATGCTTTTTCTTGCCTGTTCCCTGCCAGTCTTAGAGAAGTCCTGCAGAGCTGACTGTCCACAGCTCACTGAGGGCAGCAGCACAGGAGTACTCTCATGACCTCATGGTGAAAAACTAAAACTGCCTGATGCCGTTTTCCTCAGGAATATTTAGCTTACCAAGTAAATACTTTACCTACTACATAATCTTCCATAAAGAAACCAAGAAATAACATCAAAAGTTAACTGCAAGCTCCTCAAACATAACTTCTCAACACTCTCCTTTTTTCCTGCTCAGAGTTCAGGTGGATTGGGACCTGAATAGAGCTGTAGGTGGAACACAGTTATTACTCTACTCAGGACAGTAATTAAAACAAAAATAACCTGGATTAATTCTTACTTTAAAAACATAGAGTTTTTTTTTTAACATTCTAGATCAGAGGTTAAATAAAATGTTCAATTTGAAAAAAGCTGGTCTGTGGACTGAAAAAAAAGTGAGATTTGCCCGGCATTGCAGAATTAAGATATTAAGAAGAAAATAAGGTATTGGTCCCTCCAGGTGAAAGTACTTGCAAAGCAGAAGCCAGTAGTAGATCAGATAAAATTGGTTTTCTGTCCTAAAGTACAGAATTCCCCACAAGTGTGGGGGAATGAACACCTAATATAACAAATGAACACCTTAAAAATGCAGTCATAATTAGGGGCAGAGTAGGACAAATACAGTATATTGCAATGTTAGTGAAGTTCTTTTTGTGGCCTAATCACTGACATTTAAGAGATTTTTCCTATGAAAATCAAGATGTAAATTTTAATTTTGGATATGTATTAGCTATTTGTGTAGGCAAGAGTTTCACTAGAAACTTACATGACTTCATGTGCTAGCTTAAAACATTTTAAAATGGAAATAGTATGAATGTATCATAAGCGAATGTTACATAAATCCCAACTAAATATATATATAACATTAATTTCTCATTGCTGCTATTCTTTTCTGCCATCCTCTTTTTCCTCCCTCTTAAGTGAAATTGTTCTTCCCTGCAGTATGCAAGCAAAGTATGCAGTCCACTAGAGTGCCTGAGTTATGTTTCGTGCACTCATATTATCACACAATCTTGGCCTGAAAAAGGAAAAAAAAAGATAACAACTAAAAGCAACCCCAGAGATCTGTATTTTGAAAGCTCCTTCCCTTCCCAAATAGAGAAAAATTCTAAACACTCATGCTTTATTTTGTGCTTCCTGGCATGGCACACTTGATTTGTTGACAAGGCTGCTGAACAGTTCTTTAACAGGCAAGAGATCATTTTGTCACCTCTACAGAAACAAATATAGGTGTTCTCATCAGATGACCAAGTCTCAAAGCAAATGAAATTAACCAAAGATATCACAGATCTACCAAAATCCCAGTAATTAAGCTGCTGTAGAGAGTGGAGAATATTTTGGGCATACCTGCCACCTGGTGTTGGAAAACATCATGTCAGAAAACAACCTGAAATGCTCTTAAATCTGTATTCTCATTAGGACACAAACACACATTGATGTATTTTATATGGATGAAATGCATAAGCAGTGAAAGGTTGGTGTTATTACCAGCATCTATCTAGAAAGAAAATGAAGACCGTGCTTTAATGTTGCTTCCAGCTCCATCTCTACTGACTACAAAAATTCTTTAAGTGAATCTACACATCTCCTGTCACATAATGGCACTTCTGGGGAGAAACATCCTGAGCAATAGCCTTATAGTACTTCACAGTCTGACTGTAAACTACAGTGTGCCAAACCCAAAGGAAAGAACGGAGTTATATGAGATGGAGCTGGGTAAGAAAAGGACTAGTGATATATAATACTGGCTACTGAGTAATGAGTCATTGTCTGAAATTACTGTGATGAGTATTAATTTGTCTTATCTAAAACATTTAAAATGCCCAAGTCTTTATAGTGGAAGTGGCAATGAGACTAACAGTTTTGCATACTTGATATTGATGCTCACTGGTAAAACTCAAAACAGTAAGCATGTAAACTGAGATAAACCATGTTTATCTTTACCTAGCAAAAGGTTACCTCGAGTGGTTGCTAAAGCTTCAGTGCAGGCAACTGAACAAATCACTGTGCAGTTCAGTGATATCAAACTGTACCTATAGCACAGTGAGATTTTTTTTCTGCTCCTCTGCAAAGCAAGATTTAAATACAACTGTGTTTCCCAATGATAACTCTGGATGAAGCCACAGTCTAAGGTCAGTCTCAGTAATATAAACAGCATTTAAGTTTGCACCCTGGCAAGCACAAACTGAAACTATTTTTCTGGATTTGCATCTTAGGGCTGCCAAAAATGAAGCCAAGTGCAGCATTTGGGTTTGTCTTTTTCTTCCAGGTGATGGAGGTCAAATGCAATTGTGTCCTGAGGTGCCCCACTCCATTTCCGTTTCTAATGACTTTGAAAATGATACGCACTAGAAGATCAACACTGTAAATGTACTGTGTACACACACACACTCTCGGGTGTTTGCATCAATAACTTTTAACTGCAGAGCACATGGGAACAAGCACAACCTCTCAACTAGCTGAGATCCATGCAGTTCCTGAGGATGGCCTGTGCACAGCCAGGAGCTGGACTCCATCCTTGTGGCTCCCATCCAACTCAGGATACTCTATGACCAAGTCTATGATTAATTGTCGTTAACTTCTCCTAGAATTCAGTTACTGTCTAATACAGGGCTCGGTTGCTTTCTCAGCACCTGAAAAAAGTGTTTTCTAATGAAAACACAGATCCTAATGTGGAACATTGTAAAGCAGAAGGTGCTCTCCCTGTTGTCTATTGACAGTGACTACTTAGCAGACAGCTGTGTTAGCAAATTAGGAATATTTTCCTTATTGAGAGAGGAGTCTAATGACTCTTCTAGGATCTTTGCAGAGTGCAAAGGAGAAGAAAAAAAAATACAAAAAGTTGAAAGAAAAACTGAAGAAAAAAGACCATTAACTCCAAACAGAAATTACATCAGTGGTTTAGCATGCTGATGGCTACTAGCAGTGGAGCCAAGATCATTGCTCCTGTATCCTAGGACACTAGGCTGTTTATTGGATGCAAACAAAAAAATATTTCAGCTCCCACAAAGAAGTTGGATTCAAAAGGTACGTCTCCATTATTTTTTGGTCTGTTCAAGTCTGTTTTGGCAGACCTGTTCATGTTAGTCACAGCTCCTCTTTAATATTCAGTTTGAGGTGGTCATCATTACTATAATTTCAACTGACAAATATGAAAATAACATTGTTGTATACACCAAAAATTGTGCTTTCCAGTCCCATTTTTGTTTCAGCACGCATAACATACTGTGGCTCATGCAAGTCTTAGTGCACAGCTCAGAAAATGGCATTCTTCAGCTGCTGCTTAGAAGAAAATTGGCTACTGAATAAAGAAACCAAAGCACTTAGGTAATCAAAAACTGACAAATTTGGATATTCTGCATTACTAGAAAGAATCTGTGTGGATACCACAGTACAAGCTGTTCCTCAACCTATGTGTATTCATAATACCATAAACCAAGTATGCCAAGTTGGTGTTCTTAATGAAAACCCTACATATATACTGAGTGATTAAACTTTCACTTTACCAAGCCATGTAAAAGCCCATCAATCATCAGTTGTTTCAAACATGATGAAATTAGCGCTTTGTTCTTAAAGGATTGATGAAATCATGTACTGATTTTTCAGGGGAACACTTTCAAGTGACTTAAGAATTATGTGACAAGGCTTGGGTAGTGAGGGGGCTCTAGGGGTGGCTTCTGTGAGAAGCTGCCAGAAAGGTTCCCCTGTGCCCACCAGAGCCAATGCCAGACGGCTCCAGGATAGACCTGCCACTGGCCAAGGCTGAGCCCAACAGTTGCTGATTTAAAAAGGGAAAAAAAACCTGCTTGGGCAGGGAGAACAGGAGCAGAGAGAGCAGTGAGAATATGTGAGGAACAGCCCTGCAGGCACCATGGACAGTGAGGAAGGAGATGCTCCAGGTGCTGGAGCAGGGATCCACTTGCAGCCTGCAGAAGACCTCACACCAGAGCAAAAGGATGCCCAAAAGAGACTGTGATCCCATGGGAAGCCTGCATTCCACACAGGAACTGGCTCCTGTGGCCCCTTGGAAAGGAGTCCACACTGGTGCAGTTTGCTGGCAGGACTTGTGAGCCCATGAGGGACTTCATGCTGTGTGAAGAAATGTAGCCTATGAGAAGCTCTCCCACTGGAGGAATTCATGGAAGAATGTCTCTTGTGGGAGGGACACCAGGCTGGATCAGGGGAAGAGTGAGAGGAGGAAGAAGTGGCAGAGACAATATTTGAAGTGACTGTAGTACAGTACAAATATGAAACAAAATCCTACAACATAGTACTGGAACACTTTGCTTTTTCTGAGCACAGTCTGTAGCATTGATGCATTTGTATGTGCTAAAGCAGCTTTGGCACTAGAAACTAACTCACACAAGTTATTTAAAATCCTGTTTTCAGAAAGTGTTTTCATTGTGCTGATAACAGAGAGCCATGCCAAAAATCACTGTAACCAGACTTAAATAACTTGCATACCTTTGTATTTCAACCTCTGCCTGAAATCAGAGTATGCTACTCACAGCAGCATACTTACAGTTGTTCTTGAAGCCCACAGCTGGACAGAGACAAAAAACATTAAAATAAAAAACTGCATATTTTATTTTTAGCTTTAAAGATGCATGACTAAACAATCAGTAGAAAAAAAAAAAAGTAAAAAAAGTAAACACCAGCATTTTGTAAAATCACATTGAACTAATACAAGACTTAATACAAAGTTTTCATACATGACTCAAATGCAGTTTTCAAAGAAAAAGTAGTCTGGTCTTCAAGACCACTTCCACTTGAAAGAAAACTGTTAAGTACCCACAGATTTTAACTATAAAACAAGGATACATTCTTTCTTTTTTCTCTTCCATTTATGGAGTTGATTGCCACAAACTTCAATCATTTGCCAGTGAAATTCTCATAGTCTCAGTTACAGAACTGAAGAGAACTCATACAATTCCATGACTGAAGTCTTTCCATTTTCAGTACACACTCAAGTCAGCACTTGTCACATATCTTTAGACTGATCATCTTCTTCAAGTTTTCTGATTTCATTCTTTAAACAGTTGATGGTTTCACGACTTGCCTTTAGTCTTTCTTTAAGCTCAGCAATTTCAAAACTAGTCTTCTTTTTGGCAGCTTCAAGCTTCTCCCTGGTTTTCACTTCAAGATCTGCAACTGTGGCAGTGATAAAGAAAAAAAAATATTTTAAGTGCCATGAAATTTGCTTTTTTTTTTTAATTGATCAGTAATTTGGATAGCATTTGTCCTGAAAAAAAATCTGTTACTGTTAGCCTTACACTCAATGGTTGTAATCAAAATGGTATCCACATAAGAATCTGGATTAAAAAAAAAAAAAAAGAAGCTTGTTTGCAGCCTCATTCAGCCCTCAGCCCATCAGTTTTGCAGAGAGGTACACAATTCATAAAATAATTTTCTACATTTTTTTAAAGATTAGGTGAAGAAAATAAAATCTGACATGGTGACAGCAAATACATGGGAAATTACAGAGAACTGTGAATATGTGGTGCCCAGTGACAGCACATGAGGCCACAGGCAGAAACTGAAAGATGGGCAAAACTGAAAGATTCCCTGTGAACATCAGGAAACTTTTCCTGTGAAAGTGACCAAGTGGTGGCACAGGTTGCCTAGAAAGGTTGTGGAATCCCCATCATTGGACATATTTAGAAGCCATCTGGATACAGTCCTGGGGAACCAGCTGTAGGTGGCCCTGCTAGGGCAGGGGGTGGGCATGATGCATCCAGAGGTCCTTTCAAGCCTCCACCATTCTGTGGTTCCTTCTCCATGTACTGTAATCATTTTCTATGTCTCACTGGAGTTTAATCCTATGGATCTGAAAGTTTCGGTTATGCTGCCCTGCTTTAGCGAGTATCTGACATCAAGTACCTATTTTTTACTATTTTTTCATGCACAAGTTTTAAGACAAAGATGGTAAAGCCAACAAGTCTATGAAGGCTGCAGAGATCACTTATATCCCAGATATTACATAACTGTGGGCAGTGGCAAATATTATCTGCTTCATTAGCACATTTTAATGAAGTATTTATACAGAGAAACCACCCTGAAAGTGTCTACCTACTGTCTGGAGAAATATCCAAAAAATTTAAATGAAAAAATTCTAAATTTGGATGTTTTTATCCATCATATTATTAAACATTTTCTAAACAAAAGCTGTAACATGCAACAATAACAAAAATCCACCTCAAGACTGGCTGAACTAAGGCAGGAAATACAAGTAGCTCACACATCCACACAGCCAAGCAGACATAAGGCAAATAGGAACCCTAACTCTGAAGAGCTTCAAACTCATAATCACTCACCACTCTTAGCTCTAGGTGTCTGCTGACCAAAAAATACATGACATTTGTTGTCAGGTGAACATAAGGCTAAGTGAGGTGGATTACAATGGATTAAGGTTTGTAATTAATAGGGCAGGATTTTGGCTCAATAAATACTACATCTTCTACTCTGAGAAAGCAAGTAACAGATGAAATACAGAAGATCAGAACAGAAATAATCACTAAATGCATTACAATTTATGAATCAATGGATCTTTAATTTAGTTTCCTTAGTTCCCTTAATATTTTTGCTTATATTTGGAGACAAACTGGATAAAAAGGACACAAAAACCATTATGCTATAATTAAGAAGTATGTTATGAAATTACCTACAGTTAAAGAAGTAGAAGGGAAAAAAGAGCTTTCAGACACGACTCTATCCACAAAGGGTTGCTGCTTTGACTTAAACATCAGTGACTGTTCAGTACTTCAGGCCTTCTGTTCAGCACTGCCTTTGCTTGCAGTGCTGAACAGAACTGTACCATAGGGTGGCCTTCCTTTATCCTCTGTTTTAATTCATTTCAAAGATGTCAGACTAGGTGTAGTTCATGCCATCACTCTTCATACCAAGTAATTCCTAATTCCTTTTTTTTTTAGCAGCCATAGGGATAAGAAAATCTTAGAAGTTTTCAGGTAAGTATTAATACCCTTGCAAAAGCTGAATTTAAATTTAATGCAAAATTACCACATTTTGCAGCATCCAAATCCATTGTACTGTTACAGCCCCCCACCCCCCAAAAAAACCACATTAAAAGCAAATCCAACTATTGTTATTTCTAAAGTTTAAAATATTTTAATTTTCAACTTACACTCTGTTTCATGTTTATAAGCACCTAGTGTTAGTTGACGAGACGTTGTTAGCAGCTGCTGCATCATTGCAGTAGGATCTTGAAATATCTAAGGAAGGAGAAAAATACTCTATCACTAATACTCTCCAAATAAAGTGAGGATTACATTAAGAACGTTCATACCATTTCATCATAGAATTCAGAAACTACAGTTTTCTTCCCCAGGATGGCATTGGTATCCGACTGAAAAAGCTTCAGCAAGTGATATAAAGTTACCTATGCAAAAGACAGAATTTTATTAGCTTAAAATTTGCAGTGAAATAGAAATCTTGTTCTAGATATCAACAAGTAGTATTTGTTCCTACAAAATAACTGCATATGATTTTAAAATGTTTTAGGAATGCAAATATAAATGTCATATAGCTTCAGTAGAATTACTTTGAATTTAACATTAACTGTTAAAACGTGCCAGCTATCTAAGGGCCTCTTGAGACTTTAAAAATGTCTGGGAAAGTGGTTTAGGACTGGTATATAAAAAATACTAATACCACCTTTTCTGAAACATTTCCCAACGGGTGATTTCATTCAAATTGACTTTCTCAATTAATCAGTTAGAAAGTGCTCTCTGTGACCTTATCTGTTCTTGAGAAAACGAAGCACCAGGGAAGCTGTGAATCGCTTTTCACTGAAATCTCTCTTCCTGGGGTTACTCTTCCATGCCTGCACTGCAAATGGCAGGGTGGGGAGAGGACTGGAAGCCCTCCGTGCAGCCCTGAGGAGCCACTGACCACCTGGCCTGGGAAGAGCACACACAGCCCACACTTGTCCCCTTCCACAAACAGGCCCAGGAGCCGGGGTGAACAGCAGTACCTGACTCCCCTCGGAACTTCCTGGAAAGGAAGAACGGGACAGGCTCCCTAACAGCCTTCCAAGAAGAGCAGCAAAGAAAAAATACCCAGCCAACCTTAGGACAGCTTGGTCAAGCTGTGAACGGACTTAATACACGTCAGGATGCCACCAAGCCCAACAGCACAGGAAACCCATTGTTACCCATTGCCATGTATTCAAGAAAAACATAAAATTCAGTTTCACTCTCAGCAAAAAATGGATTAAAAAAAGGATTGTTCATGTGACAGAAGGAACTCAATCCTTCCAGAACATCCTTTTCCCAGAGTAATCAAGTTTCCTACTAAACCTGAATAAACAAACCCACAAGATATGTCTAAAACATAGGAATGGAAGAAAGAAATTAATTTCAGTACTTTATGCAACTAGAGTTGTTTTAACCTGGTCTTCTTAGGCAAAGACTTATGCTAGCATAGTAGCCCTGCTGCTTTTTGACTGATTTTGATAAGACAGAAAAAATAAAAATTAAAATACTCAAATATCCTAGAATTTGGAAGCTACGTGGAAGAAAAATCCTCAGCGTGTGCTCAGCCCAGGTAAGGTGTAATATGTGGTCACATATTAGTAAATGTCAGAGAAGCCAAGCACAGGAAAAGCAGTCATAAATAGCAGGAGGGTAGCACAGAAAGAGGAAAATGTGACCAACTCTTAAAATAATTTTCTACAATAAGAGACTTTTATTACTTCCATGGCCAATGAGACTTATTTTGACCAGCAATTTCCCAGAGCTGTAGGCCACCATAATTAATTATTTAAGCTTTGTTAAAAATTCAGTGTACTTACAGGTCTTTCATTTGGATCAATGAAAAATATCTTAATGATTATTTCAAATTCACCCCAGCCTGTTTCGGTGATTTCATATGGTGGTTTGGTAACAACTGCAATAGGCAACATAGAAGTGTTAATCCCATGATAAAGCCAGAACAAAAGCCCAGTTCTAGGAACAACTGCCGAAATGCAAAACCCACCTCTTAAAGGATTACCGTAGCTTTCATGCAACTTGAATTGAATTTTTTTCACATATGCAGACATGTCCTAAAACAGAAACATTGTTATTTCTGATTATTCAGCACACCAAGCTACTATTCAGTCATCTATCCTACGTGACTACATTACTTCTGATTTTAAATAGTATTTCTTCAGACTTGAAGCACAGAAGGAAAGCAAAGTGGTAAATCCAAAAATTAGTTCTTGCACACAGGTCTCTCAGTACTTCATCCCTATGAACGTTCTCCAGTCTTCCCCTACACTGGAAAGATCACTCCAGAAAACATAAACGGAAGCATGCCTTTGCCATGGTTTTCCTTTTTGGAAACCCACCAGCCTATGTTTTCTCGGGTTACAGCCAAAGACCCTCCTGCCCTCTCATCTAATCCCGGTTTTTCAAACCCCCACGTCCCGGCGCTGCTCGGCTGGAAAAGACCTCTAACATCACTGAGTCCAACCCTTAACCCAATGCCACCACTAAGCCACGACCCCAAGCGCCACATCCCCAGGAGTTTTGCTCCTTTCCATGGATGGCAGTTCCCTGGTTTCCCAGACCGCCTGTTCCGAAGCCTGACCAGCCTTTCGGGAAGCGGCTCTGCTGTACCTCGTTCCGGTACGGCTTCACATACACCGTCCACTGGTGAGTGTGACCATCCTCCTCTCTCTTCTTCCCAAAATACCGCGCGACGTTCCCGTACACGATCGGCTTCACGATGGTAACGCCCTTAAAGAAAAGGAACACAAGCGGACAGGGCGCGTTCAGAGAGGCGCTGCCGTACCGCGCCGCCCCCGCGGCCCGAGCCCGGCCGTACCTTCACCCTGCCGCCGGAGTCAGGCCCGAACTCTGCCATTCTCTTGAACATATTGCCCGGGGGCGCCGCCCGCCGCCGCCGCTGCCGCCGCCGGCCGGGGCGGAACGGAGCGCCGGGGAGCGGGCCCGGCCTGCGCCGCGCGAAACGCACACGGCCATGCACGGGACCGCAAAGGGCGCCCCGGCTCCACGCCCCGCGCCCAGCACAGGGACACCTTCTACTGCACCAGGGTGCTCAAAGCCTCCTGCAGCCTGGCCTTGGAACACTGCCAGTGATGGGGCATCCACGGCTGCCCTGGCAACCTGTTCCAGTGCCTCAGCACCCTCACAGGGAAGAATTTCTTCCCAATATCAATTTAAAATCTGTCCTCTTTCAGTTTTAAAGCCATTCCCCCTCGGCCTGTCACTAAATGCCTTCGCAAAAAGTCCCTCTCCAGCTCTCTCACAGGCCCCCTTAGGCAGTGGAAATCTGCTCTGAGGCCGCCAGAGCCTCCTCCAAGCTGACCCCAGCTCTTGAGATGAGTCTGAGGGGGCTGTTCCTTTGTGGTGTTTCTTTGGGGAGTTGCTCCGTGCCTCGGCCGCACCCTCTGGTCAGCCCAGCTCTGTCCCTGTGAAGGACAGGAGAACTCGGTGGACTCCTCTAGGGAGCTGCAGCCAGACCCTGCCTACAAACCATTCTCCAGAGCATCCCCCCACCTCCCGTGGCCGTCGAATGCCTGTGACGTGCTGGGACTCCTGGCAGACAAGAAGACAGTGAACATCATGCTTAACCCTTTCCCGGAAGGTAAAGATTTCCTACCCTCTTCCTTGTGTGAACAGCACTGTTCAGCTCTGAAATGTTACAGCTGTTTTTATTAAAGCAAGTTGGCAAGACTGGCAGCTGGGCCAGTCTTTTACAAGTGGTCAAGTTCTGTCTTCCAAGAAAAATTGTCTAAGGTTAATCTAATTAATAATTGGCTTCTGTGGAAGACTCTTTATTCCAATAATAAGATGAACAAGAAGTGAATGGTGCAGTTCCTGATCTAAAGAAACCTTTTCCTCCGATGCGCTCATGACTACTCTACAGATCTCCCTTTGGGACAGCAGGCTCGAACATTTCTGCTTTGGGTTTTGAAGACAGAGATGTAACCAACCTTTGTTAATCTGTCAGAGAACAGGACTTAAGAGCATCAAAAACTTCATCAGAAGCTATCATACAAACCCTGTTAAGACCCCATGTGGAAAAGAGTGCACTGTTCTGTTAAAAGAGTCTATAATAAAATGGGTTGGGTTGGGTTGGGAGGAGCCTTAAAGACCATCTAGTTCTTGCCCTTGCCCCTGCTGTGGGCAGGGACACCTTCCACCAGACCAGGCTGCTCAGAGTCCCATGCACCTTGGTCTTGAACACTTCCAGGGCTGGGGCATCCAGAACTTTTCTGGGCAACCCACTGCACTACATCACCACTCTCATAGTAGAAAATTTCTTAATATCTAGTATTATCTCCTGTTATAGAAAAAAAAAACCTGAAAGGCAAATACACAAGAACAGGGCAAACTGGTGTAAACACCATGTGCCCTAAGGAAGGCCAGAACCTCCTTAAACACATTTGTAAAAATAAAGGTAGAGAAAGTATTAACTAGATGTTGCAAATGCCTGAGGGGGTTAAGTAATATGGGAAGGGAAATAACAAGAAGGCAAGCAGTATCAGCACAAAAATGAGATTAATAAAATCTAGCCAAGAAACAGCTCAGGCAGCAATTTGCTTTTGTAACCCCTGGAGCACGGGAGGAGCAGGACACTCGTCCTGTAAGAAGTGCAGAGGAGCAAACACCCCAGACAGACCCTATGAGGTTTTAAGATAAATCGTGGAAGAAGTTAAATGATGCAGTTGCCTGCCCCAGGACAAGACTGAGCTTCATATCTCAAGCAGCATTTTCCAGTCTTTCTTGCTATTTTGCTTTCTTGTGTGGCCTTGCAATGGAAGGCTAAAACACACCCACAGCATTCCCAAACTGTTTTTTGCCTATAAGTATGGCAAATCACAGAGATAGGGGTTGATGGAAAAAATAATTACATTCCTTTTTTAAACCTGATACAAAGATTTGTTCACCAAAAGAATGGTTAATGCATTTATTATCTAAATATTCACAGGCTTGAATGTTATTACCAAGATGGAAGCACATTTAAGAAAAGAAGTGGCAGAACTGGAGAAACTGGCACTGGATGTGTACTCTGTGCCAACTGAAATAAAGGAAGTCATCTCAAATGCAGAAAGCTTTAAGACAGTCACTGAATTTCAGAGTCAGATTGTGGCTATGGAGGGAAAACCTGTTTTTGGAACATGTGGAATGAGAAGAATCTGCATAACAAGATGACATAGGAAAGACTGGAAGTGGATGGGATTGTTTGAACTAGACCACGTTAGGCAGGTTCCTGGCTGTAGCAAAGGCCTGGCAGCACCCTGAAGAATATAAGTGCTGAAATCTGCTTCTACCAACCTGTTTTTGGGAGCTGCTGCACATGATCTGCCACCATGCTGTAACTGTTGAGCCCAGCCTGTGTCCAAGTTTGCAGCTTAGGCGAAGATTTTTCATATGCCACTGTTGTGAAAGGAAAGAGCCACATACTGGGAGCTGGCTGCTCCTCAGAGAGGCTTAAATTTTATTTCTAAATTCTTTTTGATTAAAAGGCATAAAACTAATTTTAAAATATACTTAACTAAATGGAACAGGCAGGGGATAACTAGGAATTAAGAGGGCACAGAAGGAATCCTATATGACAAAATAAGTTAGTTTTCTGAAGTATCATACTGTTACCACTGTGAAATTAACACCAAGAAAATTTTCCTGGACTCCTGCTGAGATGGAAGCCAGCAAACAGATAGTTTTAGTCTTATGGAGAATTTATACTTACATAGAGAAGCTCAAAATACAGCTTTTTAGAGCATTGGCCTTCTCTGACTCTTTTTATTAAAAGTACTTTATGTACTCAAAAAAAGAACCCACCAAACAATTTAGACATTATATTCAATAGTTATCTTCTGCAGGGTTCTGTTAGCCATTCTACACTATTCACCATTTTTTTCAATACCCTTACACTACAGGTCTTGGAGAAAGTAGGGGCTATGAACCTTCATCTTGCAAATAATCCAGGCTAAATCACTTTCAGGAAAGTGAGAACTGCAGTTTTAATTACATATGGGCTCCAATTAACTTTTTGAGGTGGGAGCCCAAGTTCCTTACAACTTGACCCATGAATAAGGATTCTGTTTGGCATGAATGGTCTCTGTTTCTATCCCCTCCCACCAGTGTGGAGCTAAAACACATCCAAGCAGAGCCATATATATTTTTAAGAGAAGCACAGTCTGCAGATTGTAAAAGGTGGCAAGGGTAGCTACCTGTCAAATAAGTAAATGGCTAACAGGGAAATGGGACACCAGCGAGCCTCAGAAATCAGTTTTAAGTATAAGAGTAACCATTCTGAATTGCAGCAGCTCCACAGAGCTCACTGCTCCTTCAGAGGCAAATGCTGCCTGTTCCACAGGGGAACCCACCCATCTTCAGAAGGGTTTGAGATGCAAGCCACTACAGGCAACATTTTATCTCCCTGTATGGACAATATCTTTTTCCATTGTCTTTAGCATCAAAGGTTAGAAAGGTTTCTAAGCCTTAGTACCAGTGTATCATATAGGGAAATAGACACAGGAATTTGAGAGCAGTGCACTCAAAAGGCATTCAGATAATAAACAGGGATTTGGATTTTTTTGTGAGGTGTCAAGGCACTTTTTACTCCCCTTCTGCCCCTGTGGAAAAGGGGAGTAAAAAGTGACTGCTATCTTCTTAAATTTAGGACAGTTGAGGATTATTACACCTGGTTCTGCTGACAATGCAGACACAATTAATGAGATTATTAATAAAATGAATAGGATTGGGTTTTTTTTTTGTGCCACTAGATGGCAGAAAGAGCTCTTTTACACTCCTTGATCACATCTACACCATTTTGAACATACCCTTACAGGACACCTAGGGGCCTATCTTCACCACTAAGATGCAGGATAAAAGAAAAAATCTACTCAATGACTGCCAGTGCTAAGTAGGTGAAAGCAGTTTTGGAAAAAAATGTTCAGCAATATATAATTTTTTTAACCATCTGTTTATACTGGGTTATTTCTGTAAAGCTGAGAAGCCTTGTTTGAGAAGAAATTAATTTTACTTCCCACTTACACCACGTGCACAGGATTTACAAGACTTCCAGCAGTCTGATGGGAAGCAAACTGCTAAAAATTTTCTGCAAATTGTTCACAAGAGATGCATAACAGGTTCAGACGGAATTAACTGAAAGGAATAGCAATCTTCTATCTGCAGCAAAGAGCTCTGTTTCTACTGGGCTGCATTTGTTTTTCACACTGTCTCTTGAGGAACAGAAAGAATGGAGAAAAAAGCTAGGAAATTTTTGATCAGTTATTTGAACACCATACACTGTTATGTTTCAGCGTTAAGAGCGTGAACTGATCTGCATCTGTTTTCTATATTACACATTATGTTACACTATGTCACTTCTGTGATTCACTTCAGGCTCAAACTTAGTCATTAAAAATCTGTCCAGCAGAAGAGCTTAACTGCACCAGGCTTTCTGCATCCCTCATCCCAAGGACGGCACCGCATCTCTCAAGCTCACAACATCCTTGACAAATGTGCTTCATTCCCCAGCGGTCACTCCACAGCTCTGCTTCTGCACCTTTCACAAACACCTCCTTTCTCCCCCAGGCTAAGAAAGGAAATATATTCCCACCTCACTCTTACTTTGGTCTCTCTGTTGTCTCTTTTGTACATCTCCCAGCAAGTTACTTTTCCTGGACCCAAAGCAGGCTTATCATCTCCCCATTCCCAGCCGTTTACTTACATTTTACAGAAGCCATCACTTGATTTTGTATCTTCCAAGAGATAAAATAGCTAAAAATTCAATGTGACAGGTAAGTTCTCCTCCTTATGCAGTTCCAGTTCATCTTTCCATCTATTGTGTTACAAAATCTCCTGAGCAGCTGCAGCCTTACCTATACTCACAGAACATGAATGTGCATTAAGTCATAAATTCTTCACTATGTCTGGAGCAATCTCTGTTGTTAGTCAAGATACATGCATGAAGTAGTGTCATGCTTTAAGAACTTTAGGATGTGCTAAACCCACTGAAGTGTTGAGTGTGTAGGCTACATTCCTTTAACAAATATGCTATGCTGACCAGGAGGTTACAAAAATGCTAACTGGGCAAACCTCCTTTCTCAATTGACTACTTTATATCTAGGAGCAGGATACTGCAGGCCTTCCAGGGGACTCAGCTAAATCCCAATGCAAAACAGAGGTCCTGGCCCCAAAATTATTAGACCAGTTTTTCCTCACCTTGTGTGTCCTGATTTGTTATAGTCCAGAATTTCAGGGTACAGACACTCAGGCGCCTGCACCCAAACTTCATGTAATAATGTTTGTAAAAAAGGCATCTTTGTGATCATGAACTGCACACATACCTCTGTCTTCCTTTACTCAGTCTGCATTGGACAAACTTACCTTTTCTACCTTCATAGACTTTGCTCTGCTCATTTGGGTGTTTGATTTGCTTTCTGCTGCTCCTCTCTTTTGCAGCTTACCATTTTTCCTGGACAAGGTGCAGTATTATGAAATTGTCTGAATTATGAAACCAGGAGAAAATTAAAAGGCAGAGAATAGCACTAATACTCCAAACCTGAACATCTCTTTCCAGCACCAACAAGGGTTAAAAAAAACACTTCCAACTCCTTGCTCAGTGCCTGCTTCCCTGAAGGTGGTCAAGATGTCTCACTTCCATGGACAAATTTTTAAAATAAAGCCTCTCTATTGACAGTAAATGAAGCAAAATGCCAGCTTCGCAAGAGAAGAAACTTCAGTAGTGCTTTCAGTGAGGCTGGTGCTGAAAAGGCGCAGCAGCAAAAGGAAGACTTGTTCCTGTAAAAACCTCTGGAGAACTCAGCTGTCCCACTGCCTGGCACGCAAAACCCTCAGCAGATGTTCGCAGGAACTGCAGCACTTCCTCACAGAAAAAGTTTCTACAGTCCAATAGTCTCCCTTCAATTGCCATTAGTGTAACAACAGAAGGCTTACAGAACTGTTTTAGGCTCCCCTGCCTAACCTCACAAATGCCTTCCACCTCCCTCTCCTCCCAAATCACTAACAGTCAATAATAAGGGCCACACAGTGAGGTTACTCAGCCAACTGCAGCCATGTTCAGGAACAGGTTTATCCTGGTGTAGGTGATTTTGGGTTTTTGGCATTTTATCTTGTTTCCAACTATCACAGGACATAATAGATGGCAAGAGTTAGTTCTCTGCTGAGGTGGCAAAGAGGAGGCTTCTGCACCAGCTTCCACATTGCTAAGCACTGGGGACTCTCCAGTCAGAGAGAAACAAGCAAGGACAATAATCTGAAGCCCGAACTCTACCAGGATCTCTCCCTAGAGCTCATATAGGCCTCTGGGCCTTTCAATCTGCAGTAGTTATGAAGATCCTGAGACAGGTTGGAGGCAAGGTTCTAACAAGCAGAATTAAGCAAGAACATTTTCCTAGTAAGCATTATCAAATTATTTCTATGTCTACAACTCAAAGGACAATATTTTCCCTAGGGAACTCTCAAGGAAGAAAACAAAGCCCATGCTTGTTATATTACCTTCCCATTCTCCAATACCATTTCAAAGCATACCTTGACGATCCTGCATCCTGGTTAGTTGACCTATGCTTGAACACCTCCACAACGAATTCATCCACGTACTACTGAATCCTCACTGTGTTTATCTTAGAGTATACATCCCATGTTTTGGGGGACAGGATGCTTTACACTTGTCTCACATTTCAGCAATTGGAACTGCTGAACACCCTAACCTGGAGGAAAATTGCAGGAAGACACTTTCAAAATCAAGAGTTCACAATGATTTCCCCCTCTGCTCTTAACCCAGAAGAAAGCCTGGAGTCCCCTAAACCCCACCAGCCACAGCCCAACACCATTTCCATCTCTGTATGAATTTTCAATGTGTGTTGTAGCCTGGTCAATGAAACGAGGCTACAGCACACAATCACGTTAAGAACTCGGGTTGTTATGGCACAGGACAGTAAACTGACACAGGACAGTAAACTCAGTGGCCAAGTTGGATTTGCTATTCTATTGTTTAATATTTGGACAAATAACATCTGAACCCTTTAGAGCAAGTAAATGTTATTTCCATTACTGCAGGTTTGGAGTGCTACCCCAAGAAATTCAGGTTAATTTTCTAATGAGCATTTTGTTTCCTCTACAGAGACCTGTACAGTTACCCACTGGGTTTAAATACAGTCATGAATGTTGTGTTCTTCCAATTAGATTAAATTTTAGACTTTTTTTTGGAAACTATAATTTTTTTTTTTAAAGGAACACCAGCATTCTCACACAGTACTACCATTGTGAAATGGCAGAGGCTCATCACAGGCCAAAGGTGGAGCCAACAGCACCAGTAATCTAAGATGGTACAATGGATCTAGCTCATTTTGTGCCAGTGAATGAACTTTGACAAGTATTATGAACTATGGAAGTTCACCAGTAGAATGGCACAGTATGGCAATGCAAGTGGTTGTGTATGTAGGCAGTGATGTGTTTCATGTAACACAATGTTCAGCTTTAGCAGTTAAAATGTTTGCCCGTGTAACTCCCCTACCAAAAGTAGTTTTAAATTATCAGGATCGATACTCTCATTGGTACCAAACCAATATTTTGCATGAAATGAGCTGACATCAGTTCAACCTGCCATACAGCTGTTTTACAGCTGCTGCATTTAACACTCACATGCTTGGCAATGATTAACATTTGCTAGATTTAGTCAAAGCAAGAAACCAGATTTAAAAGTTCTATCATCAGCAGTTTAATGCCTCCTATAGAGAAAGCGCACAGATCCAAACATTACTACACTGAGGTCTGACTCTGAAAATATAATTTTAAGAGACTGAAATTGCTTTATGCACATGCTTATTTTATTCCCTTTAGTTAACAGACTCCAAGTGGGGCACTGTATTTCACAGAAAAATAAGGTTAGCTTAAAAAAAAAGTTTGCACTTCCCACTGGTTGTAAACTCTGCAAAAAGTCCAGGTAAGGATAAGAGCTAGTATAAACTATTTCTAGATTCATAAGTAATTACAGCACAAAATCTAGCTGTAACTATCTTAGAATGTCCACCCTCCAAGTTTCAATGTCTGAAAATTTGAGAAGTCTGGCAGTAATGAGAATTGCAAAGAAATTAGACAAGCTGAAATGAAGACAAACGAAAGTATTTTTTAATATAAAAATGGTCTTTATTTCTTCAATACAAGGTAAACTACTATTGCAGTTTAAGACCAACACAAAAGTTGGACAGCAAATTGCTTAACAGTCTCCTAAAGGCTGAAAAAAAGAAACCTATGAAAGCTAAAAGTTGTGCAATATTTCAAGTATAACATCTAAAAAAATGAAATTATCCCTAAATTTACAGATTATTTAAGTACCTCTACTGAAAATGTATTGAAATCCACATTTGCTAGGATACCAGCTTACCTTGTGGAGAAATAGAGGTCTCCAAAAACTGCAGTATTCACAGACTCTTTGGCCTGCCAGCATCAGGGAACTGTTTACTATATATATATAAAATCCTTTGGAGTCAAGCATTGTGACAGGCATCCACTTCCTTACATTTTGCATTGCAATTCTGCATTCCAACTTGGACAAACCCTCTCCTGTATTTCAAACCATTTCTTGAATATTTACTCATATATCCTTGTGCAAAGCGGGAACCAGGAAATGGAATGGTACAGGAAGACAATACAGCCTTTTGTTTAGAAAGTCAGCAGTGCTGGTATTCGTCATAAAAATGTTACAGTTTACCAAATAGGAATGTATTTCACCTTCAAAACACTTGGCTTTTTTTTTTCCTTTCTTTATTATTTTAAAAAAGGACAACTGCAGTAGTAAGGAATATGAATTTGCAACCACTTATATTTATAAAAGCACACACATTCCTCATTTTCTTACATCTGAAGATCAAAGGAATGTGTTTCATAATGTGATAATAATATGCACAGTTTAAAATATTTTCTATTACAAAATACTGTGTACAAGAGGGTGAGGCTGAAGTCTACTGAGTATACTCTAAAGTGTTATTTCTGAAATCATGTAAAAATCACATTACATGGTATGAATAGATAGGAATTTTTACAACTTAAATGCTCCATTCCATCAGGATCAAAGGTATACGTTTACTATTTTCAAGAGACTTGTGTAAAATTAGTGTATTTTGAAGATTTAAGCACAGACATATGCATCATCCCAGAACCCACTGCAATCACTGGGGCTACAGAAAGGGTTCATTAATTAACAAATGTATCATATATAAATGGAATAAGGAGCTTTATTGTATTTCTTCCAACATGGGGGAAAACAAATCCCACAAGAACATCAAAGTGATGAGCTTCTATACCCCAAACTGCTCCTTAGTAAATTTATCCTCTATAGCTAAATGGAAATCTAAAAATACATGGGATGTCAGACCTTAATAGGGTATGGGGAAGAAAAGGGAAGAAGGCAAAACAACTACAAAATGAAAAAAAAACCCAACTCAACACCCCCATACATCCCAAGCTAGTCTGAAGTATTAATTGCAAGGCATCATAATTGCAAGAGACAGTATTTCTGCATAAAAATCATGATTCATCAGCATGCTGCAACCATTATATTCAAGACCTGTGCAGTCAATTACCAAAATAATATGAATCTCAACTGAATCCACATTGCTTCTTTTCTATGTTACAATTCTTATTTTGGAAATTAGTTCGTATTTTCATATGGACATTGACCTGCAATTTCCTTCTCTAAAATCTTGAAGGGTTTGTATTTCAATGCAGAAGCAATTTAGTATTTCAGATCTCTGCAGAGTACCAGTCCTAAATGTGCATGTTTTAGATTTAAATCTACATGACTGACAGTATCTTAACGAGCATTATATTAGGAAATTTAAGGCTGTATCTCAGTTCACACAAGAACCAAAGACAATTTTAACAGGTTATGTATAAAATTCTATAAATAAAAATGGGAGCAATGTTTGTTTAACCTGTATAGAAAGAGCAAGTGGATAAGGAAAGAAAATCAGGAATTAAGTATTTCTACAAAGAATGCCATGTATTTTACTAGAAACACAGATGACAAGTATATACAACACTTAAATCTCCAATTATCCACACACAACTAGGAAAAAAACATTTACAAGGGTTTGGGTATGCAACTAAACAATCAGGTAAAAAAATACAGTTAGAAAAACTAAGCCTCACCAATTTCAAAGAAACAAAACCACAAAGTACTCAGTCCATAAAGAAAAAAGCTAAAGTCTAAACTTAATAAAAGTATCTTGTTTAACACAAAAAACAACAGCTATCCAAGCTTATATGCCACACTGTAAATAAAAATCTGATGTTCTGACAAACATTTACCAAAATGTCATCAGAACAAAAAATATTGGCACAGAAAGCAAAAAAGGAATGAGGGGAAAAAAGAAAACTGTACAGTTTCCAAAATGCTATGTTCTTCTTAAGTACTTTGACCGGTCAAAATGTATAGTCCTGTAAAAATTTTACTTTAAAAAAACCACCCTCTACTTCTAAAAAACAAATCACCAGAACAAGTTCTGTTGGTAAAGCACGACCACCCCTAAGTCACTACTTGTTAGTTTTGTCTTTCAAGATAAAGGACATACCCTTAAGATAGTATTTTCAATGTTACTTATAAACTCAGTATTTGAAAAAAATTAAGTATTTCTTCACAGATTATTTCATCCTTTCATCAGCAAAAGGAAATGAAATACAACTGAATGAATATTAAACAGCAGTAGCCATCATGGCAACACCACCAGTCAGCAAGTTTCCAAACTGCCATTTCCTGCATGTGTACAGGAAATTGCAGGAACCTTTAGTAAACCAAGACTTGGTAAAAATTCTACTACAGATCCAGTTACACATGATGTACATTAGGCATATTCCTTTTTGGTGTTTATCAGGGTCTTTGGATTTTTTCTGAACATTTTTTTGTTTTATAAAAAAAAAAAAATATTAACAAAGGAAGCTCACAACAGCAAGAGAGTATTACCTAAATTGCAACACAGTACATTTATCGGTCTAAGAATCTGGAGAACAGGCAGAAATAATGGGCTTCATACAGGGATCTCATTTCTCAGGTCACAATGGTCACTCTGTTTAACTTACGTTATTTACCCCCTGCTATTGTCTCCCTGCTATTTCCATTGCCAGCAATGGAAATGTGTGAGTGAGAAACAACAATCTATGTAAAAAGAGCAAGTCTCAGATCTATTTCAATGTGGACTAAAATATCAGTTTCCTACATAAAATGCTTGTAACGTTACTTTATTTTAAAATTTAATATATCTACGCAATGGAACATTACTTACCTGCTGCTTTTCCAGTATTAGCTATTCCCCATTTAACTGCTACAGGCAGGTAATTTCTTCCCTAAACTTATTACACACAGTAGTAAACAATGTTTTTAAGTAAAGAAAACGAAGTTACAACAGTACTGTTTGTAACCAATACCTATTCACAAAGAAAGCAAGAAGTGATTCATGACTTGCTTGATACAACTTTCAGTTTTACAAAATTTTTAAAGGCAGTTTTCATTTTCAAACAGGATTAAACAAACACGTGAAATATCTTCTCAGAAGCAAATAGTTCAATAAACACCAGTGATCCCATGCATGAGGAAGTGAGGTACACAATTTAAGAAAAAAAGAAAAAGGGGCGAGTCTGAAGCTGTAGCCAAGTCCAAAAGCATCAACCTGGCTGCAGGAAACCTGGTTCAATAGTAGGTGCCAAAAATATTAGAGCATTTCAGGCTTATGCAAAACTTTTGCAGTTGCACAAGCTACTGGTCCCAACTCAGTAAAGCATAAAAATCACTCACATATGCAACACTTAAAGCATATGTTCACATTTCTTGAAATCTATTAAATGTAAGCACATGCTTTATATGCTCTGGAAAAAAAAAAAAAAAAACAGATTTAAATGCTTTCCTGAACAGGGTAACATTTTAAGTCAGCTGTAAAATCTTCAAAATTGGTAAAAAAGAAATCAAGAGGCTTCTAAGAGTTGCCTCTTAAAGCCATCTGAGGTCTTGAAACTTAACTTAAAACATTAAGTGCAGCTACTTGAACAAGTGACAACTCCAAGAGTGTGTCTGTTACATAACACTTTACAATAGACTAAAAGTGAGCCTTTGTGCAAGGCTAATGGAAATGAAGCTTTTGCAGCTTTTATGAAATTTCTATTTGCTGGCATTTCACACTTGATGAAATTTAAAACAAATTCTTTAATTTGACGCCTACTTTCACTGAGTGCTCCAATAATTTGTTTTTAGGTAAATTTACAAAACCTCATCTGACAAATTTAATCAGTGCCATTTTTTGCTGAGACATTTTAAATATTGCCCACTGGTGAACAAGGACATACAAATGTACCTTCTCTTTTATATGCACGTGTGAATAAACCCCGAAGTATTAAGAAAATACCAAACCCACGAAGTCATAAAAATGGTAACATCTTGTTTCTTCTGGCACATTTCTAATATACAACTATGTACAGACTGCTACGGCCTTGGGGGTGGACAGGGAACACACACAAGCACTACTACTATAAAACTGTAAACAACTGCAGGATTTTGGGTGCTTTAAACCTAACCTTTCTGCCCCTTATTATGGGCAGTTTAAGTTCATATGAATAGTTTAAGTTTATATTAACTGTAGTGTCAATCAGGATCAAGGTTGTATGAGAGATAAAATTTTCAGTGTGCTAAAAATTGCAGACCTGGGACTATCTCTCCTCAGAACAACTGACCAGAGAGAGCTGCAGTTTTTACAGTTTTATAAGTCAATTAGCAAATTCACAAGCCACCTAGGTAAACACTGCTAAAAAGCAAAACAGAATTAAAGGTTTCTCATAACCACCTATTTTTGTATCAAAATTGAGTGGGAGAGCGCAACATTAGTATGTTTAAATTGCTGAATCCAAGATTAGGCTGAGGCATAGGCAAGAACTATTGCGATGTTTCTGAAGACAGCAATGTTTTCTTTGTAACATTATCCTTAAATATTGCTGAACACATGACTTTCCCTGAGGTGTAAACATCAAATAACTTGAACAGCTTTACACATCAGCCCCATTAAACAGTTTATTACAACACTACATCTACTGTAATCAGTGGTGCTGTGTACAGACATCATATGAACAGTTTAACATGAACAAACTACTATAAAAACAAGCATTTACTTGACTTTTTTCAATTGCTTGCACATTATAATTGCCAAATGTATATAACCAGTAATAAAGTTGCAAAAGCTATAAGGTCTAAATCACACAGGTTTCCCTCAAATAAAACAGTTAAGCAACATAAAAAAGTAAAAGAGCTACTGGTTACCATGTATGCAGATTTGCTTTATTCAGATCTATTCCTGTTCATATTATCCATGAATCCTTACAGGCTCAGTTCAATCACATGAAGCAAACTGCCGGACAAGCATCTTTCCTTGAAGAATGTATCTTGTCTTGCACGCTGTTCCTCTTCCTTCAGCTGTAATGTGTCAAAATTTGTGATGTAGATTTTGCTAGTCCCCAAAACACACAGAAAATTGTTGGCTTATCTATACATACACAACTCGTGCATCTACTTCACCGTGATGTTAACTAACATAAAACACCCAGAAGCAGTAGCTACTCACTGAAGTTGTTTTCTAATACAGCAATTAAAAATAAGATTAATGTTGTTGTATAACAAAGTTGAAAGAATATAAACTTCACAGTTAAAGTATTGATGATAAAGAAATAACTACTGCTTCTGTGACCAACTGCCAAATTTATATAGAACACTTCCTAAAGTATGCATTCTGCAAGAGTAACTGAACAAGAATTTAAAGTAATTTTACCACAATTAGATTTTTACATTTTTACCTGCCCACTTACATAAGTTTTAAGCTGGTTTGACATTTAAGTAATTAATTGATTATATAATGAAGTGGATGGCTCACAGCTCAGTAACATTTAAAAGCACACAGAATCTGACACCAGTACTTGAAAAGACTAGTGGCAAGCTAGATGGGGTTCACATCTAAAAATACATACTTGCAGTTATGTACAAGAACCCTCTTTTCAACTAATACAATGTAGATTTGCAGGTTTCCTCACCTACTTGCCCTTGATAAAACCCCCGAGTCCTACTTCCTGCTCTCCTCTATTTTGGCAAATCAGGGAACCAGACAATTCAAAGTTAATTACTCTAAGAGTTCACAAATACTTGGGAAGGTATAATTCCAAACACTGGATTTCAGTTGAATTCCATTACAAAACAATTAGCTATCTTAATTTCATTAATAATTCACAGTATCAACATTCAATAATTTCAAAATAGTTTCAATCAAGTTCTTTTAAAAACCCAACACATTAAATTATTCATTTGAAAACCAAGACATTTAGAGAAGCAATTTCATGAACGTGCAACAATACACAGCTGTCAAATATTCTTCTTCTAGTACAATAATTGCAAAGCTGGGAAAACTAAGTAAGCAATTTTTCTTCTTCATTTCCTCAAAGTGACTGTTAACAATAACTTTTAAAAATTCCAAAGTATAACCAAGTATATCCTATACACTATAGTATGCACATAAACTAATCCAAATCAGTGAGTGAAATTTCTTCTCTTATTCACAGGTCTTGTTCTCAGGTCTTGAATGCATCAACTACTTTTGGGGAAGTTCCTTCCCCAGAGGCTAGTGTTTCCATGGGAGTTATGTATTTTTGAAATTAATTACTAGCAAAGTGACAAGGTGCTACCTCCACAAGAAAAACATGTTCAGAGCTGTAAGCTAAGTTAGCACAAACAGACAGGAGAGAATCTCAGTTTTCTCGTGGAGAAAGTCAGTACTTGACAGCTGTGACACTGCACATCAGAATTTGCTGCTCTCATCATACAATTGCTGCAGCCAGAATGATGGATCTTGATTATGTCTACGGCAACAGTTAACAGATCCAAAGTGCCCTATATATGATTTAATACTACCATAAGAAAGCTTCAGTTCCTGGGAATAATTTGCTATATCTGTACTTATGGATCTACAGGAACTCTAAAGAATGCACAATAAAGGGAATTTAGGATTAATGTTTTTTTTTGTATAGGGCTCTTAAGATGGTCAGCACCACACTGAGCCTTCATTTTTAAAAACATGACCAACTAAAATCCAAAGTAGTGTACATTTCAGTTCCATATATTCTGCCACTATATCTTGGCAAAATTGGAAACCCTTGTGGCTCTGAAAATAAATAAATCTGTATGGATTATACCTGTGTGCTCAGCCTTTTTCAGTATTCTACAAGCAAGTAGAATATTGAAGCAACAAAAAACTTCTAAAAAAATTAAATCTCTAGTCAGTATTTCTTGGCATCTTTCCATCTGCCTCAAGCTCATACATAAGCTATCTGTCCCAAGCACGTGTTAGATTTGTACGATTTAACACCAGACAGCAATCAGTTTCTCAGCGTTTCTACCAAAATTTACCAACTCTATCCAAATTTCAGACTTAGGTGTTGAATTGAAATTTTGTTGCTTGAAAGTTAGGGGTTTATGTCAGAACATTTCACAAATGAAATCCCAGAACTTGAGTGATCAAACATTTCTATATTTATGCAAGATGCAACTTGAGCACTTTTTTATCCACAAAAACACATTCTTACAACAAAACCCCAGTAGATTTCTTATATATATATGCATCAAAAGCATCTTGCAATAGCAGCTCTAATTTTTCCCTTAATTCCAATTATCAAAATATTTACATAAAAGCTTTAAACAGCCTTTAAAATTTTGAAAATTCTACAGCAATTTTAAAGCTGTATATACATATACCCATCAAGTTTTATCATTGTAGTTTATTTTCAGAGATTGAATTTCAATCTCACACGTTCACATTTCAGTAAAATGCACAAGATACATTTGTTATATCCTAGACGCTCCTATGAATTACTTCATGTAATTCTCCTTTATTTTATTCTATACATGAAGAAAAAGAAATACACAAACCAAAAATCCCACAGAAAGCACCAGCTTAAAATCCAAAAATTTCTTTTCAATTTAACCTACATTCCAGAACATCACAAAATACCCCAAATATTCTCATGCTTTAGCTGTAACATAGTGAGAAATAAAGAATTTCAAGCTTGTCTTTGTCTTTCAGCATGTAAGCAGAGATACTCATGTAGCTCTGTTCACTACACACATACAGACTATTTTACCAGCACTAGCATCTTCTCACATTTGCTGCCTGTTCCCCCCTCCTATTATGAGCGTACTTACCTGCTGTCTTTGTTTAGTCTTAGTGTATAATTTAAGATCAACACATCAACAATTTCATGACTCTATAAATAATTTTACATGGGGGAAAATCCTCCTAAACTAACTTAATTTGTCAGGTATTTTATTACCCCAGCCTGTCTATTCATCAAAACTCACTGATGTACAGAGAGGCACGTTCAGAAAATTCAGTCTTTAGTTTACAAGTTAAAAAGATATTAATTATTGGCAAGTGTTTTGCACATTCATATATGAGGGAGAGACCAAAAGGTAGATCGAGCTGCCACAGGTAAACATAAAAATTAAGATCTCTCATGTTTTTTTGGTGGTTTTTTTGGGGTTTTTTTTTTTGGTAAAAAGAAATCTTAGTTCTCAAACCACAATGAGCAAAAGTAAAAAAGTGCATTTTTTTCATTCTTTGAAGAACACATTGATTTAAACCAACATTTTCATTTCTGTGTTTCATATGCCTAAAAGTTTCTTAGGGAACTTTTCACACAGACCAAATTTGTCAAAACTATTGAATTCACAAATAAAGGAGCCCAGAATATGAGGAACAAAAAAAATATAAGTGTGTCTGCAGACACCTCAGAAGTCAGTAAAATTACAGCAACATATTCATGGGAAAAAAGTAATAAAAGTCATTAATTTGAAAATAAGTAGCATAAGACATTCTGTTCATTTTTTAAGTCCCTATTTCACCCTCAAGAAAATCAGATTCATCACTGAACATTGACAGACAAACTCTATGTTTCTGCAAAGCACCAGAGTAATGGTCAAAACAGATTTTAAGAAGCATATAAACCAGTGGCACTGCTTGCCTCTATTCATGCTGTGCTGGATTGCAAATACTGAATCAGATGCACAAAGCATTATTTCTCTGGTGAATGCTAAATACAGAAGAATAGTGTCAGCCCCACAAAAAACACATAGTTAAAAAAAAAAAAAGATTAGGTAAACAATATTAATAATAGCTTAAAACTAAGACCTGATATAATTCTAGACAGGTATATATACCCAGGTCTTGAACAATGTTACCATATGATTCACTTAATATTAACTAGAAGCTTATTATTAACATAGCCTATTAAAAGCAAGCATTTGCAAATTCGTTACAAGTTTTCTTAAAAGGCTAATTTCACTTCACTTGATGTTTAAGTGGTTATTAGCACAGCTACAGGACCATTCCAACTTAGAGAAGCAAAAATATAATTAATACTATGTAAGCCATCAGTACCATTTCCCCTCCTACTGACACAAAAAATTCCAACCATGTTACTTCTTGAATCACTCTAAAGCTGAAAGTAACTTCAGAGTGATCTGAGAGCAGTTTTTGAAGAAGCATATGAGCCTCAAAATTCAATTTTGCTTACAGTGGTTTGAGAGCAGAAAAATCAGAGAATAAACATTAAATACGGAGTACATAGTCTACATACATATCAACTGTTACAATGTTGTGGTTTTGTCTTTGCAATTCAATCCAAATCCAGTTTAAATAGGAAATAATCAATCAACCCAATAACAAAAACATAAAATGAAAAACTTAACATTCAGCACTTATAGAAATTCAGACAGATTAAGATTGGGACAATGTATCACCTAGAAATACATTACTGATTATCAGTTAAAAAAATCTGCCTAACAAGTTCAGGACTCATGCTGATGAAGTTACATTGCTGTTCTGTTTGTACACATTAATTCTTCTAAATGTCATTCTATTGGGTTCTTAGTGTTTTTGACTAATACAGGTTAGACACTTGTCTTAAATCCATTGTTGTCTTTTATATTTACAGGCTTTCTATGAGCAAAGGCAAGATGTTCCAAGGAAGCATTCAGTTTATAGTAATTCAGGAGAATGGGTTGTCAATGTACATGAAGTCTTACTCAAGTGAAGGCACAAAAATCTTGCAACAATTTGATTTTAAATCATGAAGTGTACAAACAGAAGTGTAAATACCTGATATGGTACAACTAAACTTTAAGTTTTGCTGTTATAAACATATTTTGTAAGTTATTCCAATTTAACCCATCTCTATAAATGTAATACAGAACAAACAGAATTTCACTGTTCACAGAAGTTTTCACAATGGACCCTTAGAATCCTTCTGAACTAGACGTGTAACACTTTGGAAAAAATGCCAGTACAGTATCACAGTCATGACTATAGGTACACAATAAGGAGAAATATAGGTGCCATTCATAGGTTGCAGGCACAGAGGCAACTTCATGTTTTCTGGCAAAACACAGTAATATGGGGAATAACTCGTTTCAGCACTGTTGATATTTATTAAATGACTGAGGGTTAAATCAGTTTATGAATATTATTCAATGTAAAAAAATGAAACAAAAAATGTATGGGAACACACATCTTAGTGAAAATGAAACATACAAACCAGGAGATAACTGTTTCTTTTATGTGTGTGTGTGTATAAATATATAAAAACAAAACTACAATAAAGCTCTTCTTCATTAAGACAGCAACAAGACAAACTGTTTACAACTTAACTTAAAAAAATACCAAATGCTTTAATTTACATGTAGTATACTAAATTTGCCATTTAAATCAAGTTCTTAGGACCTATTTTCTTTGCACAAGGGAATTTTACCAAGTCACCCTATTGAAAGAAAAGAGAAATCCCAGCACACAACAAAGCTGAAGGATCTTGCAAATATAAAACCCACCTGAACTGCGACTGAAATCACAGCCTCAGTGCAAATTGTGCTTCAGAAATTATAAATGCAGAAATTAAAAATTAAAAATTATAAAATGCAACCTAATGCCGTTTGACATATATTCTTGGGGTAAGGGACTAGGAAATCTGTACTTGGCACAGTAAATCTGTATCTACGTGCAGAGCACTAAATACACAAAAATCAAAGCTAGATTAGTAAACTATGCCAAGGGTTAAAAAAACACCTGTCTTTCACTCCAGGCTATTAACCATTTTTAGTATGGTTTGCTAATCTCCACCCGAAGTAAAATGCTCTGGAAATGCATCCACTACTCAGCTCAATGGTTACCTCTATTAGTAACAACTATTCACAAATATCAAAAGTATGCAGCTATTATAAAAGGTAAAAACCCAGTTCAACAAAAGAAATTACATTTCCTTTTGTTATATCTGTATTTTTACATTCTCTTGTTTTACAATTAAGAACCAGAGTTGATATTTTTACTAAATTCCAGAAATATTTCTACCAATCCATTTTTGATGGCAAAAAGTGGCACTAACAGAAATACACTGCCAACATTATTTCAGCTGCCATGTTTCACCTTCCTGCTTAAGCCTTTGGCTCCTGTTCTCTAGGTTTGTTATTTCTTTTTGTGTCCCCTGCTGGTATATGATCCTGAGACAACATCCCACTTAATTCTCAACACACTAGAGCATATCATACTATCATAATTTGTTCTCTCCCAGAGGAGTGTCAGTGACACAAAAAGCCTGACTGAAAAACTAACATTTAACACACACAGAACTGTATTTTCATTTAGGACTGTACTACGTTTTATTTGACTTTTTAAGTTTTGCTCTGTAACATCTATAAATGAATTCCCATGAATAAAAAACACATGCAAATCTGGAAACTAAATCTGAGGTTAAATGTAAGAAATGGAAGCTGGGCAGACAGGCATGTCTATGAGCTTCAATTTCAGTGCAGATGTAGTGGAAGTTCTTTCAAGAAGAGTAAAGACCACTAGAGAGTCACTACTAGAGAGGGTTGGTTTTTTTCAGTTGTGAAATATAAGGAACCATGGGTGGCTTTAATTCCCAACCCTACAAACAGTACATTATATAATGTCAACATTTCTACGTATATTAAAGCAGTACATTGAAAAAAATCATTGTTTAGCATGCTACTCTAGCTGTCTAGACATTTGATGCATACAAGACTTCAGATACATGAAATAAAATAGCATGTTAGTTTGTGAACAACCAGAAAAGAATCAATTCTAGTGTTACATATTTGTTTACTAGTCTTCAGAAAATTACTTTACTATCAGAAGGGGGACAGACTGAAAAATCAGGGTGGTGGGCAGCAACTGATAATAAATTTTACTGAAGGTTAATACCTGGATTTAGCTAGAAGGCAGAAGATACTGACAGGTCACATTTCATAAAACAAAGAGCAAAATCTGGTTATATTTCCTGAATTTGACTAAAACTCACCAGGAAAAAAAATAAAACAAAAGCAACACAAAACAAAACAACAAAACCCACAAAATCACCACCATACCTGTGCAAGGACAGTAACTGTATGGACACTGAAATAATCCACACACAATCTATGAAGGGCTAAATGCTACAGTCTTTACAGAAGTAGAATTTAAAATACAAAATTAGTATTTTTAAAAACAATTAAGAAATAAAACTGTAAAATTCATATAATCTTTCAAGATTACAAAGAGAACAGTCTGACTTATTGCTTTTTTTAAGAAGTCATTCAATCCCATTTCATAAAACCTGGGAACACAATTATCAGCCAAAATAAGGGAAGTGGCATGCAGAATGCAGAAGATAATTGCACAAATACTTGTTCCCTCCCAAGATGAGTTAATTACCTGTTATTACTTACCTATTTTCATGTCAGGTGCTGCAAGAAGAAAGTGATTCAGTACCTACCGCAGGATCATTTAAATACAGACATGAATGGTACAAATAATCTCAAACCTAGAGCGGTTACTTTTAGTAAGTCAGTAAAGTTCAAGAACAGGAAAGAAACGCTCACCTTTAGCGGTGACGATATTCTCTCTCTCTGTCTCGTTCTCTGTCACGATCTCTGTCACGATCGCGGTGCCTCTCCCTCTCACGGCTCCTTTCCCGGTAATAGTCATCGTGACGGTCTCTACTACGTGATTTGTGCCGCCTACTTTTTTCTCGTGACCTACTGTGGTCCCTCTCTCTGGATCGCTCACGTCTTCTAAAAGAAATTACTTCATTAACTTTTTCTTCAAAACACTTGTCATCCCCATGCCAGTTTTGTACTCTGCTTATGAGTATGAATTTGATCTAAAATAGGTACGAGGGAAAGATCTGATCATTGTGATGCAGGGTGTATTTTTGTATACAACATTAAAGATGCCAGGTACAAACAGTGGTGGCTAAGAATTCAGTAACAAGTAGTAAGGGGCTCCCACTTTCTAATGTAGCAAGGAAAAGTCAAAGTACATACTCAGAATGGAGGATGACTGACATCAGCTGGGGGAAATACACCACATATCAAACGATCACTACAACATGGCTGCTAATCTGCACATGGAAAATATGGGCCAAAACCACTAAATATAACTAAGAGTTAAATTGAAGCTAGTCAGATCAATTTTGAAAAGAGGGTTAATTAAAAGGCAGCTTTCCTAGGTTCAGGAAAGCCTTATTTGGTTCCTTCACATATTTCCTGTGCAACTCAGCAAATCACTTGACTTCTCACAAGCCTTAATTTCTTCCTGTAAACTAGTGCTGCACCACAGCTTGCCTTTTTCAGGTAAAAGCAGATGGAAGAGGAAAGTTTTACCTGGATCCAGACCCATAAGACTTGGACTCAATTCCATGAAGGCAGTCCTGAAGGGAGCTAATAAGTACTTTGCAGCGATCATCTGCAGATACTTTGGACTGTTTGATTAAGGAAATCGCAGTTACCAAGGTCTCTATAGCACTTCCATAGTCCCCTGAAAATTATGTAAGATCGGGATCAGAAAATTATGCACATTAAAACAGAGATTTTTATCTGTAACAGTATTACCATTTCGAGTATCTTCTCTTAAACAACCATATAGACAATTTACTGTAGCACCAAATATTAAAATACTGTCCAGATCAGTACTCAGGTTTTCTTAGAAACTAACTGAAGCACAGTACAAAATCAGTCATAAGTTGTATCTAAATTCAGCATTCTAACAAAAATGTGGCTTCAGGCCTTTCAGAATCCTACTTTTAAAAAAACCCATAAATTCTTTTCAGTTGGGTAGAATAACAAACACTAATTGAGTTTTACTAACCAGCGCTGGCATCTGATACAGCTCTTGAAATGGCACTGCTTGAGATTGCCCTATTTCTATTCATGATTTCTTCAAATTCTGCTTCACTTAGAGGTGTCCTCGCAGCATCCATTTCTCTGCAAGCAATAAAACTAGTATTTAAAAGGTAAAGGAGAACTTCAGAAGCTATCATTACAATTTCAACAGTCCAAGTTTGCAACTTTAAGCAGTGACAAACAGAAAAGAAAGCAGGATCTGGTTTTGGTTTTTGTTAAGGACCATCGTTACAATATAAAATCCTGAAAGCTTAAAAAAAAAAAAAAAAAACCCCAACAAACCAACCGAACAAAAAACCCCAAAGAAACATTTAAGACATTGCTGTATAAAAGGACGTTTTTTTGTTCATCCCATCTATTTCAAACATTCAGCAGCACTTAATATTGTGCTTGACAAATATTTACAATTTTCGTAAAATCCTCGAAAGTACGTAAATAGATATTCCCAACTGAATGGATGTGGAAATACATGTACATAGGCAATGCAGCTTTGAGCAAAATTAGAGAAAATTTTCATAACAGTACTGGAATCAGAACTATATGATCCTGTTTCCCAGATCTTAACTAAGACCAGAATGCTGTAATTTTTGAAAAACAAATAGAGTTATCATCTTTAAAACACTCAATTTTCTGAATGATATGTCAGCATTTTACAGCAATTTTTTTTTTTTAATTTCTGGTCAAGTTCAAGGTACTCCAATTTAATCTCCCTACTAGTCACAGTAAGGAGGAAGCAATAAAGCAGAATCCTCATACTCATTACACTTCAATTATCAGCTACCTATACAGGGTTTGCAAAGTAACAGAAGTAAACCTAAATTTTCCCAAAAGTTTTGCAGTGTCCTATTAGCCAGTCTCTGTGTCACATAGAAAATTTGGAGAAATGTGTTAAGAGATAAATGCTGAGACTGTCAAACTGGCCCACTGCTTGATATTTCTAGAACAGTGTTAGTTCTTCTGGTAGAAAGAAAATGCAGAATAATAAGCAATGCTATCCTCTTAATTGCAAGAAGTGGAACAAGATCCTATAGCCAGTTTAGCATAAGAGGAAATGTCTAAAAATTCATACCTCCCTGAGTTTTGAGTATTATTTTTCGTGTGCCTCCCATAGAATGGAATATGTAATTTTTCTCTTATGGACATGTTATTTCCAGTGAAACGCCTATGATATATAATTAATGACAATTTAAATAGTTATGGATGATAGCTTCAACATTATTAATGAAAATACTGGACAGTAAGTTATACTGTCCTATTCCCACTCCTTCCCTCCCCAGACATTCTATAAACTGCAGACAACCTTGATTTAGTCCATAAAATATCACCCAACACCTTATAGTCTTATATTTCAGGCAATTAAGCCAAATGCTTGAATTTCTACAGTTCGTTTTTTTTTTGGTATGAACATCACATGTACACAAATGCTCGGGGAGTTTTAAACTTTGTTGTAAAAAAGGAATCAAAGCACAGTATCTTTGCAGGAAACATTTTAAGCCAGAAAAGTGTGTCTTATGCTAGCAGTAAAATTACTACTGAAAAATTCAAATCTAACTACGTAAAATCGTCTCTTACAATTAATGCCAAAATTTTTGACAAATAGAAATATGGTGAAAATCAAGAAACAGCAGCAAGACAGAGATGCTTGAAATCACAGATGAAAAAGATGTTTCAACCAAGATGTGAAAAACTTGACAAGTCCAGTCAGGGACTTAAGAACTCCGTCACAGATAGGATTAACCACAGGAAAAGCCACTGCTACAAACACAGCAAGATTGCACCAAATGAGCAGAAATATCTTGATAGGAAAGGAAGGTAAAAGTCTTGCAGTAAATTCACACTTGGCTTTTAAGACAAACACTAAATTTTAATTAAATCCTGAAGAAAAAAGGGACAAGCAACACTGCTGGAAGATGAAAATGGTATGACCTCAACATACGCACTATTCAAAAAAGAAAATTCCAGAGCATTCTTAAAAGGCAGCCTGCAAAGCACCATGATACAGTTAAAGTCAGAATTTCAAGTTAAAACAGAAGCACAACCAGAAGCTGCTGCATAAGAAATGATATATAAGTTTACATGTAGAACACATGGAATGATGACACTGCCAAATACAGCGAAGACAAACAGTTCAGAGCTGAGAAGGGAAGTGAGATTACTAGTGTTGCATTTCAGGATTTTCCTCCTGCTGCCAATATGTTTCTCAGATTTAATCCCTTGGAGAAGTTAAAAGGGGCAAACTACAAGATCAGTGGGATTCCCTTCTGGCCCTACTTCTAATTGTTCCTAACATTTGCATTAAAAGGGAAAAAAATCAAATGCTTTCAACAAGGAGTATAATCTGCTACCCAAACACATTAGACAAAAAGAACTCACCTTCCAGGTGGCCCATAGTCACCTCTGTCATATGGTGGAGGTCGGCCATATGGATCTGTCGGAGGTGGCCCACGGCTGTCTGAAGTGGGTATGCCACTATTGGCAGGTGGGGGGAAGAAAGCTGGATTCACATGTGGTGCCGGTGGTGGAGCACCTGGCGGTGGCCCAGGGAGATGTGGAGGAGGAGCAAGAGTCAGGGGTGGCCCAAGAGGGCCAGGTGGACGAGGGGGAAATGGACCCGGAGGTGGAGGTGGACCCTGCTGAGGTGGTGGTGGACCTGGTGGTGGCCCATAGCCTGGAACTGGTGGTGGAGGGCCTGGAGGAAGTGGCCCAAGTGGAGGCTGACCAAAAGGCTGTCCTGGAAACAGAACTGGTGGTGGTGGACGATCACCACGATTAGGAGGTCCAGCTAATGGAGGTGGGAGGACCTGACCAGGTGGTGGAGGGCCTGGTGGACCTGGTGGGCCAGGAGGACCTAAGGGTGGACGTGGGGGAGTTTGTCCAGCTAAAATAAAAACAAACAAAAAACAACAAACAAATAAAATTGAGTGAATAAATACAAAGAAATAAAATTATTTAAAATTCTTCCGTTTTTTATCCCAAAAAAACAATGACAAAAAAGAAACCAATCCTCCCTCCCTGAACACTGTGCAACATGTACAAGATATGGATGTTCCTGCTTTAGGTCCAGTAACTTAGAAAATTTTTAACTTATCTGTATCTATTGATACTAGATATCTAAAAAGAACAACATTATCTTGAACACTGACAACTCCACTGCTCAAATCACAATCATCTGCTGTTGTTTCCAAAACCCACAAGAAGATTACAAAAGCTAGAAAACATTACATCTTACTGCAGCTAGTCATTCATATGAGGCTTAAGATAAAATATATATTAAAAATATGGGAGAAGCTGTACTGAAGAAAGTAATGTAAACGCAGTATCCAAACATTCCTTTAGATTCTCAACTGTTTTTTCTATTTGACTATGTCCCTTAAGACTGCTGGTAGACAATCTATTACTGAATGACATTTACTAAAAAATATGTCAGCTGAAAAAAAAAACTTCACTGCAGTGCAAACCTAACTGTTTAACGTAATTCTTCTATATCAGATACCTAACTCAACATGAAGACCTTCTCTTCAAATTTCTGGAGTTTTTAGTGCCTATTAACTGACCAGAGCTGAATTTATAATCACACACAAACTTGTACTACAATAAGGAAATTAGTTACTTTACACTCTACAACACAGGCAATTCTCAGCACATACAGCAATACACTACACTAAAGCCAAATCTACTTGCTAACATGATCTATTTTAATTTTTTTCATACTTAAATATGTGTATTTACACAGTATAAATAATGTATCTAAAAAAGCTCTTGCCTTGCTACCAAATTTACTGGATCCAACTTCCTGTTGAATATCAACAAACGAACAGTCAAGTCCTACAGTCTAGCTGTTAACACTGATTTATGGCTCATTACTGAATTGCCTTGATCTTTATCATTTCCCAAATAAGTATGCCACATTGAAAAATACATGTAAGACTGTAACTCCATATATGCATAATTTTACCTGGGAAAGGTGGTGGTGGCCCTCCCGGCCCTGCCGGTCCAGGGAATCTGTCTCCACCTGGAATGGCACCTGGAAAACGGCCCCGACCTCTATTACTAGGTGGAAATGCTGCTCGTGAGCTTCCTCCTGGGGGACCAGCTTTACCTTCCCCAGACATCTGGCCAGACTGTGTGGCTGCAATGGAAAAGCAAAAGTGTTACTACACAGATGAAAATAGGTTGAACTATTTCAACACTTGACCTAAAGCTTTATGCAGTGCTAAAGTGTGACCTTATGAGTACCAACTTGCTCCCTGTACCCAAACCCAATGCATTTGGGAAGGGAAACATTCTTTGCTAAAATACTATGCCTCATACTAAAGGAAGAGGATCTGGAGAGACTGCCAGTCCTTCCTTCCATGAAGCCCAACACCACACTGAGAAACACAAGACATGGTGCTAAAGTACAACACAGAACCTCTTTTCCCCATTCTATCAAAAATACAGACCGTCCACACATTAGAATTTAGTCCAGTTTAACTAGAAATGTTAAATTTCTAAACACTCTTGTGCTTTTTTTTTTTTTAATTACATCCACAGGAAATTAAGAAAGCATCCACAGCTGTTAAGACAAGAGCTGCACGAAGCTGCAACCTTGTTTCAGAATGCAGCAGCTCTTCAGTGTATGAAGTGATTTCTTTAAACAAAGATAGAAGTTCATTCACCTGGACTCTAAGTATTTTATGGCTATTTTAAACTGCACAGAAATTACAAGACACTGAGCTAAAAACCTGCCATTCTACTTTTTCCGCTTTTCCTAGACAGCACTTAAGAAAAGCTTACTTTTCCTTGACTGCATTTCAAATTGACTCAGAAACTGTTTATTACACGGAGTTACAACAGGATTCTGCCCATGCAATTCTCTTTTAGGCAACAAATCCATCAGCTTTTTGGAGGATGCTTCCGATCCCACACCCACAAGGGCAAACCTGAAAGGAAACAAAAACAGTTACACGACAATTTGTTCATTTTCTGACATCCTGACATCTCATGAAAAAGATTACACACAGTAAGCAAAGGAATACTTGACAACTAGACACCAACAATGTCTCACAGGTCTTAGTCCAGTTTTCAGAACAGATTAAATAACTTATCCTAGGACATAAAAAAAGGAAACAAAACTGCAAGTACAGGATGCATCAAAATTTATCCCAACAAAGGCAGCTTTTTGGCGGAGTATCAACAGACTACATAATTAATTCATATGAAGAAGTTATTAAGCATACACTCATACACATTGCTGCCAAAGAGACAGAAAGGCACATTCATGCAGTGAAATTTAGGCTGTCAGTGAAAAATGGGCTCAAGCACTTACTTTAAACAGCTGATAGAAAATAAAGATGTAACCAAAAGATTTGATAATGAAGGTTAGGGGAACAGCGTTTACACTGAAGAAAAACAAGCATCACCAGCATACCAACTAAAAGTCTAGGAATAGTCTTATATGAAGATCACCAACAAGCTTTAACTCACAAAATAATGAAATACACAGTACCATCACAAAAATTTATACCTGAAACTTAAGTCATTAGTATGAAATTATATGCCAAATCATTTTTGGATCAATAAGCTAGGATGAGCAGTCCAAAGATTGACAATTATGAAAATTAAGAACTCCTTCACCCCCAAACTTCAGTCCACATATAGAAAAAAACAAGTTCTTACCCTTTAGACTGGCCATTAGCACGATTTTCAAAAAATTTTATCTCCAAAATGTCATTTACCCCCAGTGAATGAACTGCTTCAGTTAAGTCTTCATCTGTTGTCCACTGAAAAATATTTTTAATATTCAACTATGAAAGCTTATCTAAAACACCAGGCAAAGGGCAACTAAATTTTCCATGGATTTTTCAGTGTGTGTGTATGTGTGCGAAATTGATCCAGAGGAATATTTTATTCAGACTGTCAATATAATCTGACTTTTGGAGTAGTCATTTTCATTTTACAATTCAACAATTAGTTCAGCTAATTCACGCACATTTTACTGATTCCATTCACGTACTTCAAAATGGGACAACTTAAGCCAACAGACAGGTTCTTTACTTACCTATTAGTTCCTGAAGTACTGTAATAACTAATGAAAAAAACACCTACAGTAAGAAATTATCAGAAATTTTAAAAAAATTAAATTTTTTAATTTATCTTTTAAAATATAATTTTGCATATGTGGGCCCTGAAGAACTTGATTTCATGTAACCAGATAAAAGCTCGACTTAATTCAGCTACTGACCAGCTCTTGCACTGTTTGCTTTCCTGCAACTGATTTTAAAATACTTGCATTCTAATAAAAGTAATTTTCCTAAGGGCAACTACAGTTCAGTCAGTTATCATCAACCTGTTCTTCTTGGACAGAGAAATAAGCCTCAAGACAAATACCTCAAAACAGTTATGCTGAAAAAGTCACTGCAGATGAAAAAGGCCCTGGAAAAATGTGAGAAGTAATTTCAAGAAAATCCCAGAGCAATCTCCTTTTAAACTAAAACCTTCAACAAGAGTTTACTAAAAATTTGGCTTGTTTAGTAACCTTAAAGTGTTTACAGACATGAAGTATTTAACAGTTTAAACTTGTTCTCTTCTTTCATTTGGTTCTCTGAAAACCTTAAGAACATAGTAGCACAAATATCCTTTCATAACACTTAAAACATGACAGAAATTCTTAAGTTTATATTTACTGAAGATTTTCTTCATTTTTAAGACATCACGACAGCTCCAGACAGGCTCTCTGAATTTCAGGTAAAAGGAAAAATGACCCCACAACCAGAAATGAAAATTAAAGAAAATCAAACCAACAACAAAAACAACTGGGTTTTGATACACATAATAATTCATATAAAACATTTTAAAGCAAAAAAGTTTTACAAGTAGTTATGTCTATAATTAAAATTCCTGTCTACAACTAAACAGCAGTAAGACACTTACCCAAGTGAGATTTCCAATGTACAAGGCAATTCTCTTTCCAGTATACGTATAGACAACATTTGGTGCAGCTCCTTTACCTACATCATCCCCAACAGATGGCGGAAGAGAATCCATGTAATCACGATCCTCTGGAGCATCTCCATTATTTGCAGATGGAGAAATTACATCATCATATAAATCAATCTGATCATGCCCACCATATTCAGCCTCCTAAAATAAAAAAGACATCTTGATTATAATTAATATTACTCTTAAAACTTATTGAAGCAAAAGTTGTGCTAATTGCCGTGTTCCACAGACACAGTAAGTCTGATCAACCACCTACACAACAATCCTGTTGAAAAGCTAAGCACCAGTTTCCTCCACATCAAAACACATAAAATTCTTATGACACCTATTGCATTCTAAACTTATGTGGAAAAAAATACTTCTGGCCACTTTCCATTCCAATACTTTTGCCCTTGTAATATAAGCAGAAATCAAAAAATCCACAAACCCTACTCCCAGAATTGTATACATCAGAATGCAGAAGTGTTGTGCTTTAATCCCAGATTGCAATTAAGTACCATACAGTTGCTCACTCACTTCTCCCTCCCCAAACACTCCATCAGACAGATGAGAAAAATCAGAAAAAGGTAAAACTTGTGGGATAAGAACCGTTTCAAAACCGAAATAAAATAAACTACCAGTCCCTGATCAGCCTCTTCCACCCAACTACCACCAGTTTATGTACTGGGCATGGTGGCTCTTCCATCTGATGCTTTCCTATAACACAGCAGGACCCATCGATAAACTAGGTATATTGCATCTCATTTTCTTGTAGTTTATTATATAATGGGGTCCCTTCAGCAAGTGTTATTTCCTCCTCTGGTGACATTCTGAAATCTTTGTCTTTTAGACAGTCCATGATCATTTCCAAGATTCTTGGGCAACTGGGATTTCCTATTTGAGCTTATTATATGGTCACTGCAACCCACTTATTTCATGTAGCACCAGCTGCATGATGTGTAGAGAAGACCTTCCCTTTAAGCATCCAGCCCAGCACTGGCAGTCGCTGGGGAGCTGGAGGAGCTGTGCTTCAGCACCAATCCCTTCCAAAGCAGCTCCTTGATTAGACTCCAGTATCTCTTTCAGCAGGAGTATAGGAAGCCTCAGATACTCTGTCTCCCCAGTTCCATAACAGAGGGCTGGAGATGGCCTGGAGTCTCTCCTGGTGCTTTCTGCCAGACGCTGCAGGTAGGGCCATTTGCCCTGCCTGCAGTATAGAGCACATTTTTACATCTTGCCCTGCCCAGACTGGCCTGGGGGCTGCTGCATGAACTTTGTCCCATTTAATTTGTTCAAAAGCTTGTTGTTGCTCAGGGTCTCATTTGATAGAGAGGGCTTACAATTAGACTGCAATCTGGAATATGTGCATTCTCCAAAAACTCATAACACCTAAGAAAGCTCATGTTTGTTTCTTACGAGTTAGTGGAGACATTGCTGCTGTTTTGTTGATCACATCCATTGGTGTCTGACAACATGTTTTAGGGTAAAATCAGTTTTTGGAATAATTTGGACTATTTTCTTCCCTTTCTCAAAAACTTCTGCTACTGTATAGGCCCACATGATGATATTATCAATGTATTGCATGTGCTCCAGAGCTTCACCCTGTTCCAATGCAGTCTGGATCAGTCCATAGAATTGCCAGCGCTGTGTTTCCACCCCTGTGGCGCTGGATTCCAGGACTACTGGACATTCTTTAAGTGAAAGTAAATTGTGGCCTGTCAAAGCTACTGAAACACATTAGCAATGGCAGTTGTGGCAAACCACTTGGCAATTTTTGACTGCAGCTCATACTGGAGTTCCAGCATGTCCAGTGCAGCAGCACTCAGCCACAGTGTGACTTCATTCAGGCCACCATAGTTCACTGTGGCTCTCTGTTATATATTCACACTGGCCATATGGTCCTGCTGATCACTGCTTGATTCTCCAGTTGATAAACCAGCTTGTGAATGGGAATCATGGAGTCTCAGTTGGTGCAATGCTGCTGCTGGTGCAATGCCATGGTAGCAACCAGCACCTGTTCAGTGACCTTCAGCAAGCCCAACAGAAGTGTCCTCTGACAGAACAGGCAAGGCAGGCAGCTGCTTAACTTCCTCCACCTCCAAGGCAGTGGTACTGAACACCCACCTTTTGGGTCCTTGAAATACCCTCTCCTAAGGCAGTCTGTGCCAGGGATGCACAGAACCTCTGGGCAAGAGACAAAGGGTTCTTCTTCCACACATTCCCAGTCCAGCTCACTTCAGTCTCCAGTTTAGTCAGCTGTTGGGTTCCCCCTCTCTCAGAAATAGAAATAGGATCTGCCCCTGCAGAGCTGCATGGCATTGGGGTACCCTGTGCACTAGAGCCTTCCGCACTTGTCGGCCTGATGTGTAGGATCCATACACTCCTGCAAACCCAGCATATGAAAATGGCATGCTCAGACAAGTTTCTGCCACAAGGGTCACATGCACTGGAATTTTTCTGGGTCTGTGGGTGATTTCACACTGTCTGGGTCATAACAAAGGTACTGGATACCACTGTGGTGGCCCTGGGTGACATGGAACATCTTCCTTGAAGGGATGTCTTTCCTTCACACTCCACAGGGATCACCTCCCAAAGGCTGAGGCCCTTTGCCAATCACCTTGTCAATGCCCCTTCCTCAGAAGGTGATCCCAGCTGTTTGGTTTCCCTACCCTCTAATTCCAAGCTACTAGCCATGTTCCCCAGCATCCAAGCAGTCAGGTGATCACCTGCCCACCTGGGTGGGCTGAAATCTTTTTGCATATCCCACAGCTCTCTCAGGGATAGGGATTGAGTGGTTCCCTCTTGTTCCGTCTCTTCCTCCTGCTCTTGTGGTGGCCCTGCTTTGTTCTCCTTTGCTAAAGGTGTCCGTTTCTTCTGATGAGAAGGGGTGACTGATACCAGCAGGGGCTGGTGCTTTGGGTGAGCTGCATCACCCATCACAAAGGGGTCTGAGCACCCGCAGCACCTGCCACAAAGGCCTCAGTAGCCACAGTGCCTGTCACAGGGTTTGAGAAGCTGCAAATAGTTGTCTAATGCTAAACAAGACCTGGCACACAATCATGATTCCTGGCAATAGGGCCATGTTTCAACATCCCAAGGATATTCAAAATTTTCAAGAGCTGTTGTCATTAGCCTGGCAGAGAAGGGGAATATGGAGGATCATGTCTCCTCCACAGGTTAACTCTCAGAGGATGAAAGGTAAAATGTGTAATCATTAATAGTTTACAGTAGATCACTTGCAAAGTACAAAGATGACAGGAGAGCTGAGTACAAGTAACAGATTACTTTCACAACCAGCAATCCTGTTATACTATATGCCAGTGCTCACAGGATCATCAAATGCCTTGAGTTAGAAGAAACCTTAAAGATCATCTAGTTACAAGCGTCCTGCTGTGGACAGGAATATCTTCCACTAGACCAGACTGCTTGTGTTAAAACAAGATAAAAACCTTAGACCAGTTCCCACAGGTGAAAAACAGCACAGGGAGCACACACTGGAAGTGCAGAGTTAAACTGCTTGAGAATAAGCAGAACAACTGCTTGAGAGTTGAGAGCAGAAAATCAACATCGTGTCCAACAACTATTAAACTAATTAACAAATGCTTAAAGCAATTTTATTCTAGCATGTTCTAGTCAGATTTGTTGTTTTCTCAACCTGTCAAGCCCTGTGATAGTTGATCAAAAAAGGGCTATTGTGCTTTAACTCCAGTGGGTAACTAAGAATCACACAGGTATTTGCTCACTCCTCCCCGCCAAACCCTGTGGAACAGGGGAAGAGAATCTGTGAAAAGGTAAAACCCGTGGGTTGAGACTACAACAGTTTAACAACTGAAATAAAGTAAATTACAAAAAGAATAATGGTGATGAGGAAAAAAAAAAACAACCCAAAAAACAAAAACAACAACAAAAAAAAACCCAACCAAAAACGATTAAATAATGCACAAGCCAGCCAAGTGATGCATAACCACTGATGCTCACCACACGCTGACCAATGCCCAGTTCATCCACAAGCAGCAATTGCCCCCCCGAGCCAACTTGCCCAGCTCCCTGTACTCTCATACCTTGCTCCAGAACAGAAACTGCCTCCACCAGGTTTTGGTATCAGAGATATTTCAGCATCCATTAAGAATTTGTATCCAGAATCTCACAAAAGCATCCTAGACAGAACAGTTCAAGGTGCCATATATGGCAGCTACAGAGAACCAAGCTGGACTCCACAAAACACAGGCTCCAAAGGTGGCAGTGTTTGCTGTAAACCCAAGACACCCACAACCATGATCAAAAGATCCACTGTCTTGAAAATATAAAAATATTATCAACTACTGCTCATACAGGGAAAGTATAACTAAAACAAATAATTTAATTTTTAAAAAAACCCAAACAGGTAAACTGAATTTTGGCATTATTAATAAAGTACATTTAATCCTCAGTAAACTGCATTGTCCCAATAAACTTCAAGAGAAAAATCTCTCTCTAAAGGTAAGCTTATCACAATTAAATTAAGGGTTTCATATTTCACCTAGTCTATCCAGTTCTCTCAGTTTGATCCCTCCTATCACCATAGCTAATGAAATCAGGTACGCAGAACTGCCTGAGACAGGCCTAAACATGACATCTAAGAGCTAGATTAAGGTTGATGTCACAAGGCAATTAAGGAAATCCTCAGCTAAATGTACAGTAACTCTAGACATTTATGTATATGAATGATGACTTCAGGGAAGTAGAATTTAGTCTTGGTAGACCTGCAAAAACACAATCACCAAACTTACAGCAGATGTATGTACACTAACCTATCTCTCTGAGGTCAACACTACCAAAACAACAGAGTGGGCAGCAGTCCACAGCTCTGCTGCGACAAGAAACTCCTCTGAAACAGATCGTTTGTATCACACAGGCTTTCAGGTCTTCATCAGTGGACAAAGAATTATTAAGGCAGCAGAGTCTGCATGTAATTGAGAGGGGGGCAGGGCCCAATAGCACCAGTGTCTTAATTTAAATACACAAAGACACAAGGGAAAACCTGATGTTTTTCTTCTCACATTGTGCTGGTTTTGCATCCAGCATGAAATCAATTCAGTTACCAATCGGTCAGCAAGGTCTGTGCTTCAATGATTAAGAATGATCTAAACCAGCAACTCCAAGGGTAAACAGAAGAGAGGTGTCCTGGTGGATGCTGCACAAGATCCAACAACCCTTTCTCCTTCATATGTGTTCTGCAGAAACTTACCTAAACACACTCTCCCTTCCCAGATGCAGAAGAGGAAAAAAGTACAGGAAGTGTTGCTTCTCCAGTCTCAGCTATTTAAACAAGTGCTCTGCCTGTATCAGGAACCAGTTTTGACCTCTTCCAACTTCCTTAGTTACAAAAAGCACATCAAGCATGAAGAGAAATTATTTCTTCTCAATTACTGTAACTCACAATCTTGCAGATAAACATGCTAAGAAACAAAGTGAGCACTGTTGTTCTGGCCCCCTCTAAAACCAAATCAGACAGCAATGCATTTCCAAAGTCTATGTTTTAACTAGACCACAGCCTGAAATACTTCATCATAAAATCAGGACTGAAATTCCACATTCTGTGCTAATAGGTGGTATTGGGTGAAACATTCCCATATGAAAGCCATAAACACAATGAACTTCATGTCCAGAAGGGACAAACTTAACATGTTATTTCTCATTTGGAACTTAGTGGCCATGCTCCTCTGAGCTGCACACAGCCACTTACTTCCTTTAAGAATGCTGCTTTGGAAATGGCTTTTGTTGTTATGTAAAATTTCTTTAAGCTGTCCATACATCTGTTAGACTTGCCTTTTCTGCAGAACTTTGTTCAACTTAAGAGTTAAACACTAACTTACACCTCCAAAAACATATTTAAAAAAACAGCAAGCTAAATAAAGTTTCATGAAAAATATTTACTGCTGCTTCTGGGGAAAAAACCCCCAAACAACTAAACTATCCAGCTTCCCCCTTACTGTTTTTTTCACTGAAGTTACCATATTTGTGGTCAAAAACTGTTAACACATGTTAGTATCCTCACTTGAAAAAAATAAATTTGAAGGTCCTGAAGAATAACAAGTTAAACACATAAACAAAAATCTTTCTGGTCTTGATTAACTGTCTGAACATACAAACTGGAACATGAACAAAAAAGGTGATCTTTGGTACTTCTAATTTTACAAACTGCCTATGGCAGAAGTGGGCAAGTTTGTTAGACCATAAGATTCACATTTCCTGTGCAGGCCCAAATGCTCTTGGTCCTACAAACGGCACAGCACTAAAATTTAAGCAACCCGATCCCTTGTAACTAAAAATTACAGAGCAATTACAGAGTTACAAAGAATAACTAAACATTCACAAGTAGTCAAAAATACAAACTACTAAACATACATATCACTGTTCACATTAAAACAAAATGAAGAGGTGCCAGATAAGAAGATCTGAAGTTATTCTGGAGTTTGGTATTAACCAATATACAGAAGTTATGTCTTCCCAGGGCCCCTTTCAGCAGAACTGACAAAATGCATATGCCATCACACATTGTGGACATATTTTATAACACATGCAGGTCTGCCAGCTTATGTTTTTTCTGACCAGGACAGCCCTACTGAGTAGAAATTTATTATACCACAATGTGTCCATCCCCTCTAGCTTTTATTATTGATCACACACAAAAAATTTCCTTTGTGTTACAGATCTGAAGACAATAACTAACACATTCCTAAGACTATAGTTTTCAGATAATTAGCCTCTTAACTGCTTATTCCATCTAAATCAGTTTTATTATCCAGTTACAAAATACAAAGTGAAAAGTCTTTCATCCCTAATTTGTTAGCATTTAAATATCAAAACAGAACACTACAGGCATGTTTAGACATATCCACAATGCAACTACCCAAGTTTATGTGCCAAGAGCATAAACAAAGCGAGCACCTTTTCCACTGCATTAAAATATGATATGCCTAAATTCTTTTGCATCCTCTTTCTGATCAGAAAGATTTTTACATGTCTACAATAAAAGTTTTTACTGTTTAACTACATGCATGGGGACATGTGGAAAAAAAAAAACCTACAAGCACGAAAATGCAAAGCTGATCAGAGCATCAGGGAACTTGATAATGCATGGTCAAATTTTCATGACCATAAAAAAGCAACCCAGTTTGTTGGCCAAACTGGCAGGCAGCCAGACCCAAAGTCAGACCCAAACTGGCCTCGTACACAAGCTCCTTATTATTTCTGTACCAGACAGCAATATTCTAGGGTTTTGTGTATAAAACCACACCCCCTAATATATCCTGAAGTACCCCAAACTCACTGAGGGTCTTTGCCCTTGAGAGAATGTCATCCCCAGCTATGGGTATGCAGGCAACAGTTCTAACAAGCATCACAGATCTCCCTCTCCTGAAGAGCAAGATGTGTAACGACAGGTATGGAGATGCTTAAGGTAAAATATTCCATGCAATACCCATTTCTAACAGGGCACAAGCAATGCATGCAGGAAGTACTACATTTATGAGGCTATAATCTCAAAATGAGACTTCAAATAAATAGATAAGACTGCTGGATGGGAAAGTCAGCTTGGAAGAAAAAAATGACAAATTACTCAACCAAGTTCTCCAAGAAAAAGAGAAAAAAAGAAACCACAATTTCAACAAAAATGTAACTGGTCAGAGCCAAATTGACTAAAGCTGTTAGCCCAAGGACAAAAAATATTATTTTGATGAACAATAAGTTAATAAAAGAGTAAGAGGCAACACTGACAGACGATTCAGCTGGAATAGGAAACATGCATTTTCACTCAAAACATCTGATATAAAGTTAGTCAGCTCATTGCAACCAACACTAAATACAACCTAAGACAGTTTACAGCTGTCATCCATCTTAGCCAGCTTGTAAACCCATGGCTCTGTGGTCTTTATTTCACCTTTATAACCTACGGTTCATTTAGTACTAATCAAGCAGAACAACCTTACCCTCCACCTACTTGGAAAAAAGGCATTAAAAACATCCCAGAATAGCCTCAAGGATGTGTACCTTGAGGTGTAGAACAAGACAAAACAACCAAGGGAATGTATCCAGTCACAAGTCCTAAATAAAGGGTTAACTCCAGATGCAAACACAAGTCCTGTACCAGCCTGGGTATCAATACAATTATGTACTGCATACACAAGAACAGCAAGCTCCACAGTACATTTTTCAGTCCTTGTTACTGCCAAAACCAGTGGAAAGGGTTACTATACTCCAATTAAAAAAAAATTAGTAAGTCACATTATTGTAGAGCAACAAAATCAAAAAAACAAGTTTGTTTAATAGATAAAGACAGTTTATTTTACAAATATGGTGTTTGTAAAATGCTCTCTACATAAATTAATAATGCAAATAAGTTTCTCCCTAAAGCATTTTTTAATTGTCATCTTTACACATCCACAGAACTATGTTCTATCTTATCCATTTAAGCAGTCAGCTTCAAATCAGGAACAGCATTTCAGGAATAAAAGTTTCTACACACCTTTTCTCAATGATGTTAAGGGACAGTAACTAATACAAGTCACCTTTCACATATGACAGAAGGAAATGACAAAATGCAGAGGCATCAATCTCTCACAGTAAAACTTTTATATTGTCTCAAGACTTGCTCAGTTCAACATTACTTTAAATAGAAAGTCACAGAAATTAAATTTGGAAAAGAACAGCAACTTTTTGGGGGTGTGTGACAAAGACAAAAACACAGAAGAAAATCCCCTAAAACAAACAAACAAAACCCCCAAATTCAAGCTGATGGAAAAAGGGCACTAGCCTCTTCTCACCTTTCTGCCCTATATTGTGCAAGATTTATGAACTGGAACAACAGACTGCAGAAATGCAAACCCAAGAGGGTGAATACAGAGAAAAAAGCAAAAGGGTTCCCTGCCTGCTGGATTAAGCTAAACTAAATTATCACAAGACTCCCTTCTTTCATACCACCATGGTTATAGAGAATATCAACAGCAATGATGACCTGAGACCTGAGTAGAGCAGGACCGTGTGAGTGAAACAGAACACCCCCATCACTTTCGTTCCACCACTGTGTCTTTACACTATACTTACAGCACGTAACTATTCTACTCTGGGGGCTTCTGCACACATGAATTTACACTAACAATACCAGATTCAAGCGAGGGTTTTTTCCCTGAAAAATCTGCTTTGTTATCAGTTTTATCTAGAATCAATTAAACCAAATTCAAGTTATCAAAGAATCTGAAAAAATGTACTCTTCTGCTGAATGGTGTCTGTCCTAGGGTTCATTCTTGTTTAAACTCATAGAGTGGGTCTTCAACTGTAAGGAAGAAACCTTCACATGCAGACAAACTAAGAGCAAATCAGTGCTTTTCATCATCTCCTTTTAGTATGGCATTCTTTCACAGTATACCTTTATGAGATTATTAATACTTAGAATTACTGTATTAATCGATATCGGAAGAAATAGTCTCCTGAGAAAGCTACAAGTTGCTGAGAAAGTTACATATTACCTGAATTCCAAAGCCATTACTTATTTCCCAGTTCTCTGCAGGGCAAGCTGGCATACAGCTGTGCCCCGTAAGTGCGCGAAAGTGCACTTGTTCCCGGCTATTTATGCTCTGGGGCACGAACAAAGCAATCTGGGGCAACTCAACCTGGAGAAGTGCAGCACTCGCTAACAGGACAGATGGCATGCAAAACGGATACAAACATCGCGTTTCGCTAGGAAAGCTGGCACGCGGCTATTTGGTAAAGATGAGGGGCAAAAAAAAAAAAAACACAAACAAAATAAAACACCAGAAAAACTAGAAAAGTGGACTACTTATAATCCAGAGAAATTGTTTATTTCATCTGTATTTTCTCAAGAAAATATAAACCCGTACTCTAAAAAAGGCTTACGCCACTTTTTAAAACGGAAGATAATAACGACCAAGAAAAACAAACAAACAAACAAAAAAAATACAAAACGCTGGATACTTTCTCCAGTGCTGCAGGATAAAGCCGCACTAGTTCCGCCTCCCCCGCAAAGCGCGGCCGAGAAACAGCCACCGCTCGGCGGCTTTTTGATTCATCTGCGAACAATGGCAGCGCTTCCCCTGCGCCGCCGGCGGGAAGGGGCCGCTCTGCCCGCCGCATCCGGGAGGGTCCCGTCCGCCGAGCCGGCGCGGGAGAGCCCCCTGGAGCGGGCCCTGAGAAGGAAAGGCAGAGGGGGAGGAAGGCCGGTAAGAAGCGAGAAAGCGAGCGAAGGAAGGAAGGAAGGAAGGCGCTCGGCCCCGGCGCGTCCAGCCCGCCGGCAGCAGCCGCCTCTCAGCGCCAGGCGCGCTCTCCGCCCGGCCGGGCCCGCCGCCGGCACCCGCGCCATGCACATAATGCTCTACATAATAGGTTATGTTCTGCTTTGTACATTATGTTCCACATCCAAAAATAAACCTGCTTTTTTTACTTTATCACAAGCTGACAATAAGAAGCCTGTGCTTCTCAGACTGAATTAAAATAATATAAAAACATCGCTGCAATGAATAAAAATGTTATTTTTAGCTTGACTCAGGATTCTTGTTTCATGACTGGGAGTACTTCACAGTGTGTGGATCAGCCTCCAAAGTGTCCTGGCTTCATCTTGGGTCCTGGACCTGTGTGCCGATCATCCCTGTCTATCTTGCAATCCCACACTGAAGTGCCCATGGAAAAGAAATATGAAAAGACCAAAACACAGCTAAAAAATCAGAGATCCAAAACAAGGGATATGTTGTGGAGCACACCTGCTGACAGTCTAGATATATTTCAGGTATGGAGATGCTTGGGTTATTCCTGGTGTTCTTATCCAACTTGTGACATGATGAATTCTTGAACTGCAGATTTTGTGTCATTCCTGCTGTTAATTCCAGAAGACAGAAATACTGTATTTAAGGGTTTTTTATTGGAGCTTCCTGGTTAAACAAACTAGCAGATTGTGAGCCCTTTGGTAAAGTTCGGAGAATCATCTGGGGGGAAAAAAAAAAAAAAACAAAAACAAAAAAAAAAAATATCATCTGGGAAAAAAAAAAAAAAAAAAAAAAAACCCACCACGTTTTAGAGGTGGTAGTTAGGATCAAACAAACAAGACATCTTAATTGAACTTCTGGTGCTGGTTGCAGTTATGATTTACACTACTACATTTGATCACAGGTTAAAAGTACGTGTTCACATCTGTGAATGCACAAGTTGCTGGTGAATGAAATGACTGATTGGTTTTGCAAGGAGAATCCACTCTTCTGGATTTCTCACAATCTGTACAGATACTGTTAAAGTATTGAGATCTGATTGGGCTCACACACTTGCCTAATGGTGAACTGCTTTAGTAACTAGTCTTGTCGAGAATAAAGTGAAGCACTGTGACAGTTACCACTTCTGGCCATGCTAAATAAAGTTGCTGAACTCAAGAAAACCTAAGCCTTGCTATCCTAATGATCAGATTAAAAAATTACAGCAGATGGTAGGTCGTGTGCAACTGAATGTTTTATATGCATCTGAGTATTATCCATAAATAGTTTTGAAGGGTGAGGAAATAAAATATGAATGAAAAAGTCATCATCATCAACTCAAAACCACCTCAGGGATTACCACTGGCATTTGAATTATCTCTTCTGGGGCCTTTGAAGAGGCAGGAAAAGACATCAGCCTCTGCTTTGCTTGTTGCAGTAATGAAGGATGATCAGTGAAGCCCATGGACCCCCGTATGCTGTTTCATGCTCAGGGGCTTTTCCACTTTGAAGCCTTTTTTAATAGTTTGATTTGTTAGATTTATTGTCTACAGTCATTTACAGAGAAGATTACGATAATTTTTATTCTGGTGTGCGTATTACTAAGCAAATTCTGTAGGCAGTGTAGGAGACTAAATATTATGCAAGCTGTTCTATTTATTTTCTGTTGTGTTTTCATTCTTTCCATGAGTAGACTTACTAAATATGTTCTTCCTCTTTCTTGTGGTCATCAATAGCTTCTTTGTGAATTACTGTGCCTCAAGGGAGCAAGTTCAGAGTTGATCTACTCCAGTGAAAATATTAATGCTTTATGTATTGTACACATTTAAATTATTTAGACAAAATGTTGTTGTCCTTCACCCCATAAAATTCAGGAGGCTGAGGTGAAGCAGGGCTGGAAACAGAAATGTGATTGTGAGAGAACAACGTGGGAGTACAACGTGGTCTTGGAGAAGCGTCCTCATAAGTTTTGTTTGGGACAGCAGGAGCCACTACTCATGAAGTAATTGCACACCTTCCAAAGCCTTAGCCCACCACAGGAACAAATGGCAGCAGATGAACTGGTGTCTTCCTGCAGTTCTTCTTTCACACCGTGGGATGTTCTGTCATTTGATGATGACAGCTGGAGCTCCCTTAATAGCAAAAGAAGGGGGAAAAGGGACTGTAGCAGTTCTACATAAGAAGGTAGCCTGCAAGTCCCTCTTTCTCATGGATACACAAAAGCCTATTTATTCGTGTATTGTTCCTTTGGTCTCTTGTGCTGTTAATGATGCAAATTCAGATGTAATCCTCATTTTGAACATAAAAGCAGCAGCTGGTTCTCTGAGGATCTTGTGGCACACGTCTTGTTAACCAACAGAGCTCTCCATACCTTCCTCTACAAAGCATTTCAGACCATTTTCTATTAGGATGTTCCTGCTGCAAGACAAAGGGGAGGAGACCTATTTTCCCAGCTCTTGTATTGTATGTGATTATCTCAAAAATATTTAAATATATTACTTTAGTTAAGAGTGGCAGAACCAGTTTCAATATAATAGTGCTTTTTAAACATTCACCTATTTTTGCCAATATCAACGTGGCAAAAATATATATTTCTATTTTGAAAAATAAATTTATGTAGAATTTGTCTGAGGAATCAAGACTGAGAATGGTGCAGGAGTTTTCAAATGGACTTTTATTTCAAAATCAGCATGAACTGTTCATGCAGTAATGTTATAGGCAACAAAGTGAAAAGATAAGCTGTAAAAAAGTGCTGTGTTAATCAGGATAGTACTCAAAATCAGAGGAGACCTCAGTTTATTTGAGAAAAGCAATGTATGTTTTGTTATATAAACTTCTGTCCTAGCTATGTCAGTCCAGCTGCAATTAATATGTTTTATTTCTTTACTTGTAGTCCTGAAGGCTTTGGTCTTTCCAAATCCTCTTGGAGCCACTCTGCAGGACTTTTATTGTTTTTCTCCCAGTAAAATATCCCAATGGTGATAGTCTATGCACTCTAAGCTGTAAGAAATTGGGTTTTTCCACTGAAACGTTTTAGTTTATAAAATTCCACAGACAAAATGTGGGAAAAAATGTTATATTCTAAATGAGATAGCAAATAGGCACAAATCTGCATATTTGCTTTTAGAGTCCAAAACTTCAGGTTTTGTTAACTCTTGTGTAACTGCAGGCTGGCATGAAAAGAGACAATTGTGTTCCCAACAAAGGTAGCAACTGCCTGTGCTGGGAAAGAGGGAATATTACCTCATCTTTTGGTTGCAGCTCACAGTTAGATTGGATTAAGTGTAATATAAAACTGCATCCAAAGGGCATCTACAAGAACTCCTACTGACAGAGCTATTGTGGGAAAATAGCTGGCATTATTCATTGCTTGCTCAGAGTTGTCTTTTTATAGGTATTCAATTGTTTTGGGATAATACATGTGAGCATTGTGCTCCATCTTTTTTCCCCTCTATAAGTGCCTGTCAATCTGCTGATTCTCCTGGTTCAACTGTTCACTTTCTGGTTCAGAGCCAGGTTGAAAATTATGGTTAATCAGGATATGATTTGCAAATTGTATGCATATTCTAGCCCTCAAGGCAGAAAAGTTTATTAGAGAAGGTAAGTATAGTGCAAAAGGTGATAATAAATTCAATTGCCTCATTTGAATCCACTTTCATATGAGCTGCTAATCAGAGGACTGTTACCTTCACAAAAAGTATGAAATTGAATTTCCACCCTAATATCACATCCTATTTTGATAGCTTTGCATTCCCTGGTTTAAAAATCTGTCTCTAAGATTTCTTTTTTACCCTTAAAACTGTCACTAATCTGTTTTTCCCTTCTGCAGTTCAACTCCTCTTCTAAATTGATTGAAACATCCTAAACTTGTTAAGTGCATTAAACAGTAACAGTTAAACAAAATCTTTCTTTCTCCTTTCTCTGAATTGGCTATATGCATACACAAATAAAGGAACAGCACCACGAAGACCACTGTAGGATGTTCTTTGATATTCCAAAGAATTTAAGCACAAGGATAACTTTGTTACATAGTCTCTGTTTACTTCTGATACCAGGAGTCACTCTGAATTTGGGTAAAATCTTCACTGCTCACTCATGCATTGTGCATGCCTTCGTGCTTTGAGCACAGGCTGGCACAAGTCTGTCCTCTTCATCAAGCTGAGCTATTTAGAGATAGAGTTTCAGAGAAGAGAACCCTACTTCATAATATTCAGGTTTGGTCTTTTTTAAACTTGAACACTTCCAGATTTCAGGAGGGGTAGTATCTATCATTACTGTGTTATGAATAAGCAGAATGAGTCTGGAACTGGAAAGCAATGTATCTTATTCAAAGAGCAGGCCAACATTCTCCCTCTGGCCCTGATCCAGGGCTCTGCAGCTCTGCTGAGCGATGTTCACGTGAGCACTTCGCAAGGGTCACAGAGGACATGCCCCTGCCAGTGCCCTC